TTTCCCGTTTCCCACTTTTTTTTCACCTAGAAATTTCACATCTTTTTTCGAATCGAAAACGGCTGCCCGGAAGCTAATTACATTTGCATTTTTGCCTTTTTTTTCTTTTTCTTTTCACTCCCAAAAAGGCGTCTCTTTTTGAGCGCCCATTTGACGATATAAACAATCGATTTGGTGATTCTTTTGAATGATAAACAATCACTTTATGCAATTGTTTACCGAATTCAGGATTTGCTTAGCTTTTTTGCTTTTTTTAAACTCCTTAGACATTTAGATCATTTTATAGACTGACAAACTTGATTGCTGCTCAAATTAATGCTCAAATGATGGCTCATATTGGAGGTTACAGAGAAAAGAGCTCGTCCAATCGATTGCCCGTTCCCGAAAACCGCCGGGTACAAATTTTTAGAGCAATATCTTCTTTTTGTACCATCTACAAAGCAAAAGAAAAATCTGTATGTAAATGACTGGCAAGCTGTTCTTTGTGCGGCCGCGCAAACGTTCGCAACCTGACATACATGCCTGGCATAAGGGGTTCCCTTTTTGAATGATTAAGTTATGAGTGACTCTTTAGGAAACCTTTTAGACCCTGCAAGCGATTCATGAGTCTCGTGAGGCCTCATGGCTCATGCTCGTGAGGCCTCATGGCTCATGCTCGTGAGGCCTCATGGCTCATGCTCGTGAGGCCTCATGGCTCATGCTCGTGCTCATGAGGCCATCGAAGCCCTCCAAACCAGTGTTACCATGGCGCACTGGCATTTACCGCCGCGAACCAGTCCCGAATTCGATCAACCTTGGATCAATTTTTCTTGGATTTCTTCTCTTTTATTTGTTTTGTTTGAATGTTTTGAGCAGTAAATGGTATTTTTCTTATAAGCTGTTTACCGTAACCCGCCAAGGGCTATTTCGTGGTTAATCGTGTTTAAAAGGAGAAATTTTTGACAAATTTTCATTCTGGACAATTTTCAATAGTGTAATTTAGTTTATAACACTGGTTTTTGGAATAAATTGGAACAAATAAATTTTTGGGATGAATTGGAATAAATCCAACCTCAAAATTGGTGGACAATACATCATATCAGAAAAGCTTATGAGAAAAATGATATTATGTTTATAGCGAGTAAAAACTCGCAGAGTTTGGCGAGCAAACATAAATTGTATTTTGATTCATTTCCACGCTATGCCCAAATTCTTGGGATCAATTTTTGCCTTAATTTTTTGGCCTTAATTTTAGTTGTATCTTTGCTAAAAATTTCCTATCCCGTTAAGTGATTTCCTATCAAATTCTACTATTAAAATTTGTGATCAATTTTTTACAAATCCAATGCGTAACTTAGAAATTCGTTCATTTGAGAGTTCGTTCAGAGGCAAAGTTGTCCAGAGGCAAAGAGAGAATCTACAGTTTGAAAACTTTTTTCTTCAAACATCAAAGCATTTCTTTCGTTTTCTTTTGTTTGCTTTCGTTGTTCTTTTATAGTGCGAGGGTTAATTCCCCAAGAGTATCCCCATCCATCCATTCCCAGATGGGTAAAAGAAAAGAGGAAAAGGTCGAAATGATTGGCCTCTACTTTTCTTTTTCATTTCTTTTCCCTATTCTCGTCCATAATTCACAAGTGAATACCTCACTGAGATGGAGAAGCTCTTCTTCTATTCGATCGTTTCGAAAGTTTTCATCTTGATATCGATTTGGTTTTATTTTATTTTGCTTAAAACTTGAATCAGAATCTTTTCTTGCCACGATAGAGTTTCTCATATTACAGAGTGCGGCAAAATTATCGAATGAACTTTGCAATCAGCTGTTTTATCTTGTTTTTTCTTTTTCTTTTTCATGTTTTTGGCTGTTATTAAACACTCTGTTATTAGATCTGAAAAGAAAAAAGGATTTTCGAATCAAGGAAAGGATCCAGGTTCAAGAGTGGATCGCTAAGAACCAATCCAGATTGGATGACCGTTGATTGGATCTTTCCAGATTGGATGACCGTTGATTGGAACTTTCCAGATCGGATCAGCGCTCACAGACTCCTGGTGAATGACCATCAAACTCGCCTGATCTCAACCCTCTCGATTATTCTATTTGGCCTATTCTGAAGACAAAAGCTTGTGCTAAATCCCAGACATCAATCGACTCTTTGAAGCGGGAACGGGACGGAACTTGTTTAAGGCATGAGATTCGATTTCTTTCACTACTATCCAAAAGGTAAACGTCGGCAAAAGTCTTTTACAGAAGTAAAAGGCGTTCCCAAGCGCTTCAAGAAATGTGTTGCTGCAAATGGTGGGCATTTTGTGATTTAAAAATGCTTATGTTGTAATGAATTTGTTTGTTTTTGTTTTTTGTTTTGTTTGTTTGTTTGTTTGTCTTAATTTGTTTTTTCTTAATTTCATGAATAAATTGTTGCTCGTTGCGAAAATTACGATTAATTGTCGCTCCATAATGTTGCCGCATTCTGTAGAAGTGCTCAATTGCTATGTCAATATTGAATCTATAAAATTATTGGCTTTTTCATCTTCCGGACAAGCTCAAGATCAAGCTTTTTCATCTTCCGGACTTCCGGACAATGATGTTTGAAGTCAAAAATTCGCATTAATCATGTATCTTGCATTTGAAAGCTGTAAAGCTCGATCATTTTCATTATTTGACTTAATTTTGATACAGTATTTTGCAACAATAATCGATTCCTTTTTTTTTAAAATAGACGAATATTTAAAACGAATCTTTCTTGCAAACTGCAAAACTTTCTTGAAACGGATCTTTCTTGCAAAACTTTTACAGTTTTTCTGCTGTTCCTCATCAATTTTCATTTCTTGTTTGCATCTGATTTCTGATCAAAATCATAGCTCTAAAAATTTTATTGCTTTCAGACTTTTCCTTTGCTTTGTGACTCATTATCATTCGTGATTTCACCTGTTTTTTTCAGAAAAGAAAAGAATAATTTGTTCAATTGGACGAATTGATTAGACAAGTGGTTTTCTTGTTTTCTTGGTTTTCTTGGCTCTTGTTTTGAAAATTTTTATGGCTTTTGTTGATGTTTCTTTAATTTTTATGGCTTTTGTTAATGGTTTGAATGTTAAATAAGGATTTACTGGATTTATATCTATTTATAAGAAACCAAATTTAGAGAGATAAGAGACCAAATTTAGAGAGATAAAGAACCAAATTTAGAGATATGGAGCGGTTCTCGAGATTTCGAGGAATTTAGGCGAAGCTGTTTAGCGGGTGCATTACTGTTTGGGGGAAATACGGGAAGTAAGATTTAGAGATAAGGAACCATATTTAGAGAGATAAGGAGCCAGATTTAGAGAGATAAGGAGCCAGATTTAGAGAGATAAGGAACCAGATTTAGAGAGATAAGGAACCAAATTTAGAGATACTGGATACTGGATTTATATCTATCGTCAGCCATTGGATAAATCGATAGATTTGATCTGATAGAAAATCGATAGATTTTTGGTGCAAGTGCAACTTTTAAAACTCCATTTTCCATTTTTCTAATTGTCAAACATTTCAAAACCAACGCCAACCCCTTTTGCTTTTAAAATTCTCTATAAAACAGAAGCTTTTCAACTCAAAAAGGTTCGATGGGGTTAAAGCGGACAGAAAAGTGCCCCAATTTACGAGAGATCTCTGGGAAACGGGAAAAGAGGAAGCAATGCTCGTGGAAATCTCAGCAATGCCCTGAGGGAGTCGCGCTTTTTCGATGTAGCATGAAAATCGTCGACAACACTTTCAAACCCTCTCAACAAATTGTCGGGCTTATGCCCCTCTTTCCTTTCCACTCACTTTCCTCTCCTCTTTCCTCTCCTGAAGTGTGAAACTTCTCTTTCCCATATTTGAGAATCCCGTCATTGCGCAATGATCGCTACTTGTTGAAGTTTTTGACAATTCACTCAAATTTTGGAATTGGAATCCTTTTTTTATTGCATACCATCTATTTTTAATAACATCACTGTTGAATTTGAAGTCTCCCGTACATCGGATGAATGTAATTCATCTGTAATGACACAAATGTGACAAACGTTGACACACAAGCGTTTTTGACACACCTAAACTTTTAATGGCACCTCTAGTGAAAGCTCCAAGCTCCAACTCTTGGACTCTTTTGCATACACAACCAAATTTCTATTGATCTCTTAGTGTAAATCGATTCGTACATAGCATATCAGTGAACTATATTGCTTTCCTAGCTTTTCCCTATAGTGTTTCAGGCGCGGAAACGTCTGAAAGTACGGTGGACGGTCCGAAAGGCATTTGTCGTCAGAATTTTATTATTTCAAGAGAGTGGCTAGCAGCAAACGTGACAAACGTTGACACACAAGCGTTTTTGACACACCTAAACTTTTAATGGCACCTCTAGTGAAAGCTCCAAGCTCCAACTCTTGAACTCTTTTGTATACACAACCAAATTTCCATTGATCTCTTGGTGTCTCTTAGTGTAAATCGATTCGTACATAGCATATCAGTGAACTAATCATAAGCTCGCAAAGCAGGCTTTGGTGTAACTTTGGGAAACAGTACATACTCTTTTGGGGGGAGGGAGTGGCTATTGGATAACTTTCTTCCAAGTAGGTCAATCTTTAGGTTAGGCTTTTGGTGTCATTTTGTAGATCTCAACAAGTACAACAAATTGACACCAAAATCATAAAGATTGGTCTATTTAAAAAAAAGTTATGGCGAGTTGCGCAACAGTAGCCACCACCCTCTTTTTGTTTGTTTTGGTAGTGCTCTAGATGATGTGCCAAGTTACCTTGACTACCAAATCCACTAACGATCTACCAAAAGATCATTGCTTTATCGTTGTTGTTCTTGTTTTTTAGCTCTAATCTGCAATATTTGACTCTAAAAGAGCTTTATCCATCACTTCTCCTTCATTTTGTCTATGTTTTTGCTTTTCAGATGACTTTTCTTTGTTTTAATCTGCTAGGTATTTGGTTTATATTTAATTTTCAGATAAAAACTCAGTCAAGCTTTTGAAGAAGAGGATTGATCAAAAGATTTTGCAAAAATGGCAAGCTTTGTGATGAAGCAGATGGTCGGCGGGAAGTTAAACGAGATGAAAGGTTGGTTTTGTTGAAAAGTTGACAAAAATAATTGAATGTAAACAATTCTAAAGAGCAAATAAATAAAGATCTTGCTAGATGAAGCTACTCAAAGAATTTAATCTGATAAATTTCTGACAAAAGCGCATCTTTGCGCAACAACAAAAGCTAGTCAAGTCATCTAAAAGATCGCCCTAGATTGCCCCTTCCCTTTTCTCAAATTTTCGAAATTATACAATAGTGACCAATTAACATCCTAACAATTTGAAAAACCTAGCTATTCCAGAGGATAATCCAATCTTTCAATATTGTCTCTTCTCCAAAAAATCTCCACTCGTTCCCTCCTCGAAAATTTCCATTTGAACCCGTTGCTCTCTGGTTGAGAAGCGGAAACCTCCCGCATGAAAGCTCGCAAAAAGAAAAAAAGAAAGACAAAAAATGTCTAGTCAATAGAATGAAAGAATTCGGCAGAATTTTTGCCTCAAACGCGAAGCTGGAAGAGTCTGAAGAGAGGCCCAAGTTGCGGGCAATCCATCACGATGGGGAGACCTTCCTGGGTCAGAAAAATGTAAAGAAAGAAAAAAAAAAAAGGAAAGATTAAGTTAGTTAGTTAGGCATCGGGATTAATTGTTGTTAGAAATAGAAAATTGAACTTGTTCAATAACAATAAACATTTTCGGAGGAAACGTATTATAATGCTTCTCGAGTGATTAGTCGTTTCCGCTTTTTTGTGCTTGGCTTTCGTCCCATACCTTTCATTCTGCCATATTATGGATCGTTGAGAAAGGTACTGATGGTGTGAACGGCCAATTTTCCGGGTAATTTCTCGATAGCTGTTCCCAGCTTGATTCATCGCTTCGATCATCTTCTTTTCTTGCTTCCTTTTGCTCAAATGATTAGTCGTTGTTCTTTGTAGTGCCGGGCGTTCGTCCCGTATGTTTCATTCTGCCATATTCTGGATCGTTGAGAAAGGTACTGGTGGGGTGAACGGCCAATTTCCCTGGCAATTTCTCGATAGCTTTTCCCAGCTTTATTCATCGTTTCGATCATCATATCCAGCAGTGTATTATAATAATGATCAGGGTTGATAAAAACACAGAAACAAAGAAAACGAAGAAAAGCTTGGCTAGAAAAAACTAGCCAAGCTAAAAACTAGCCAAGCTAAAAACTAGCCAAGCCAAAAACTACCCAAGCTAAAGGCAATGGCTTTCAATTGATTTTGACCTAGAATTTCAACCATACTATTGAATTTTACTCAAAATCTTAGCTTTTGCTTGGTTTGGCTTTGGAATTTGGATTTTCTTACCAACTCTGGTTAAGAACGAGCTTGCTTTTCTCAAAGCTTATTAGAGGTTTTCAATCTTTACTTTGTCTTTTCTTGAAATCCAAATCCTTTCTTGAACTTGAAGAAAGGATTTGGATCAAAAGATCAAAACTTACTTGATGAAAACATCAAAACTAAACTTGATAAAATTCAGCTCATTTCCCGAAAAAAAGAAAAAGAAAGAAAGAAAGAAGGAAAGAAAGAAAGAAGGGAAGGAGAAAGGAAGAAGGAAAGAAGGGAAGAAGGGAAGGAGAAAGGAAGAAGGACAGAAGGGAAGGAGAAAGGAAGAAAGAAAGAAAGAAAGAAACGCGGGGAAAAAAAGAAAGATGGGATATAGGGAAAAGAGAGGAAAGACAGCGAAATAATGCTAGCTGGGAAAGAATGGGGAAATATTGGAGAGATCGGAGCCTTTTCTTTTCAAGGCTGAAGAGGGATGGGGGAGATTGGGGCTCAAGGAGGGGGGGGGGGGCCGCCCTCTCTCCCCCTCTTCTCCGGATCTTCCCTCCTCTACCCCTTCTATCCCTCTCGTCTCATCCATCCTTTAGCTTCCTTTTCTAAAAAAGGATAACTCAAAGTATTTCAAATTTTCTACATCTTGTTTATTCTTTAAACTCGCAACCATGAATATGATCGTTGGCTCGATGCTCGGGAATCCGCTTGGAGGTAACGATCAGATAGACTTGACGACTGATAGACTCGTCTTCAATTTAACAAATTGGCATGGATTAGATACGATAGATATCTCATGAATTAATAATTCATACAAATCTCTAATGATGACCTCGAAATAAGTTAGTTCTAGGTACTTTTTAGCGTTAAGTATCGCTGTGTAATGGGTTGGGGAGAATGAAATAGCGCTGAAGTTTAAAGACACTTTTTGCAAGCATAAAGCCTTCTTTAAACACTCGATTTGTTTCATCAAAAGGCTCCACTATTTCTCTACAAAATCACTTTTGGAAGATTTCAAAAAGCTTTTCTTTCGTCGAGTTTATGGACTCCCAAACACAGCTAGTCAAGTCCGACTTCTGTTTGAACGTTTGAACAGTTTCTTTCACATAAACCTTCTTTGATGTCTACATAAAAAAGATAGAGCAAACTAAATTACATAAGTTGTCAAATTTTCAGCAATATCTCTCCAACCGTTTTCTCTAGATCACAGTTTATAGATTTTGTGAAAGAAATGGCTTTTTGTTGAGCTGAGGCGCTGTTTGAGTTCTCTTTTAAATGCTATTTTGTAGAGAATTAGTTGACCTCTTTATTGATATAAAGCGCGTATCTTTTGACAAAGTTTTGCTAGAAGTTTTAGAAGTTTCTTTGATTTTTGATCTTTGATTTTCACCGGCATTCCATTTCCCCAACCCAATATTATTATCTGTGACAGATTTCGAAGAATTTCTAATACCCAGTGATAATCTTATCCTCTTAATCTTAAGCTTCCTTTCGAAATGTATCTAATTCAAAAGAAAACTCTCTAAGTATGGTTGTAAAACGTTTGGAAGAGTAAAACCATAGATCAATCATAGATAAATCAATGATCAATGATCAATCATAGATCAATCAATCAATTATGTCTCTATTTTAACCCAACAGAACCATTAGCGGCTAAGAAACAGTACATGGTACTGTTTCTTAGCCGCTAACGATTCTGTTTTACAAGTTCCGCTAACACATTACAAGCTAAATTATCTGAACAAGTCTCAATTGATTAACTTAAATTTAATTCTGTTTAAGTGCTATTTAGTTCTGTTTAAGTGCTATTTAGTTTTGTTTACGTTCTGTTTAAGTGCTCTTTTGTTTTGTTTAAGTGCTATTTAGTTCTATTCAGTTCTATTTAGTTCTATCAAATTTAGTTCTAGTTCTTGCCTCTTTTCAACCTCTTTTTCCCTAGTTCATTTCCCAAAAAAATTTTTCGCTTCCTCTAACTTTTCTCTCAAAAAATTTGTACCCCATGAGAGCCGATGTAGAGGCGACTAATTAGGGGGAAACACGTGAATAAGTCGGTCAATATCCCAGCCAGGATCGGTTGCTCCATTGAAGGTCTCCAAGGAAGGGTTAAATATGAAAAAAAAGCCAACGGGAAAGCTCCCGCGCCGATCGAATTTCCCCTACACTCATTTTTCTCAGCTCCTTTCTTGACGACAAATTCCATTTATTTCCGCTCGAGGGCTTGTGGTCGAAAAATCACGGGAAATTCGGAAATTGCGAAAAACGAAAACTTAAGGATTCTGAGAAATCCAAATGAAATAGAGAGATTAGAAATTTTATGGCTAACAGGAAAGCTTTGGATTTGGAACATTTGGAAAACTTAATGGCCTATGCAAAGTCGATTCTAGTGGCATTGAAGTAGAGATTAGATTAGACATTTTACGGCTAACAGGAAAACTTTGGATGCATGTCGGTGTAGATCATTGGTATTTGCCTTTTAAGCTAGAAAGGTCACGAGTTCGAATCCCTCCCGATCATTTCTCCCTATTTCCAAAAGAATCAATGCTTTTAAATCCTTGAAAACCTTGATCCAATGACTTGAGTAGGAGATTATTATCTTTATTAATTAATTATTATCTTTATTAATTAATTATTATCTTTATTAATTAATTATTAAGTTTATTAGGATATTAAGAAGTGTCAGAGATTCTTAAATCTAATAGCAAACATTTGAATGGTTTTAATGGAAGATACACTGGTCTTAACAAGATCCAGCAAGCTCCAGCAAGATCTTAGCAAGAGCTTAGCAAGATCCAGCAAGAGCTTAGCAAGATCCAGCAAGAGCTTAGCAAGATCCAGCAAGAGCTTAGCAAGATTCAGCAAGAGCTTAGCAAGATCCAGCAAGAGCTTAGCAAGATCCAGCAAGAGCTTAGCAAGATTCAGCAAGAGCTTAGCAAGATCCAGCAATAGCTTAGCAAGATTCAGCAAGAGCTTAGCAAAATCCAGCAAGAGCTTAGCAAGATTCAGCAAGAGCTTAGCAAGATTCAGCAAGAGCTTAGCAAGATCCAGCAAGCTCCAGCAAGCCCCAGCAAGCTCTTAGCAAGAGCTGATATCCAGTGCTTCAAGTCATTTAAAGCTATTTAAGTCTTTCCGAACCCCAGCGGCTCAAAAATTTTGTAGAATCTTGTAAAAATGAGTTGTAAGCCGTACAAGATTTTTGATTTTAAACCTAACAATCTTTGATTAGATATTTTAGATAAACATTGATAAACTTTTTATAAAAAAGCATTGACGCTTTATAAAGCAACACTTTATAAAGCACAGAAATTCCAAAGCTTTTGATAAAACTGATAAGTGAAGATTTGATAAGATTCTAATGTCAGATTTTTGAACCCTACTTGCTATTGATGAAAAATTCATCTCTTTAGATATTTGTCCTCATTTCTCTTCTCATTCAATAATCTTTGAGTCTTCAAAAGTCGTATTAGACCAAACACATGACTCGAATTAAGTTTCCCAAAACGCACGTCTTTTTATGACAAATTTTTATGACAGATTTGATCCAGAAAAGAGCTTTTACAAAGAAGATTTTTTGCATTCATCTTGGTCAAAAGAGAAACAATAAAAAACAAAAAGAGAGAAAAGGAAAAAAGAAAAGGAAAAAGAAAAGGAAAAGAGAAAAGGAAAAGAGAAAAGGAAAAAAGAAAATAAAATATCGATTCTGCTGCCCTCTTTTACTCAGAAAAAAGGCGGCTTTCAGAGCTTTTAGGGGAATTTTTCGTGGTAGGAAGGACCTAAGAAACCCCTAGGGGATTTCAATGGGAAAAGAAAGGAAAAAGGAAAAGAAAGGGTAAAGAAAGGAAAAGAAAGGGTAAAGAAAGGAAGAGAAAGGAAAAGAAAGGGTAAAGAAAGAGAAAAAGCTATTCACTTGAATCTTCTTTCTTTTTTTGAGAACAATCCTTGTAGAAATCCTTTGTCTTTAGCAGTTCTCCCTCGTTTTTCTTTTTCCTGAACAAGAGACCTCATTTTGAATGTTTCGAAAAGGGGAAAGCTGAATTTTTCTGGTAACTGAAATAGAAAAATATTGATTCAAAGGGTTAAAAACAATCCTTAAGAGTAAAACTTCAAATTGTAGGAAGGTTTTATAGTAATAGAAAGATTTGGTGCTTACTGGAAACTAGAAACTGGAAACTAGAAACTGAAAACGATTACTGGGTCAAAAAAGGTATACAATTGTAAGTAAAGATAATCCAGGTTGATTAGTATTTTTAGAAATTCTAATATCTTTTCTTTTTAACGCTAGAAAAAGAATTCTCTTTTCCTTCCTTTTTAAAGGTCAGTGGAACCAAAAAAGGCATCAAAAATGGCCTAAAATGCCTAAAATAAAGGCCTAAAATGCCTAAAATAAATAATAATGAAGTGTCAAAGCTTCTAATCGATTCAGATTCAGATTTTAACCTTTCATCTTTCACCTTTCACCTTTCACCTTTCAACTGCCATAAATACTCGAATAGAATGCAATAATGATGGGCGTACAATCGCGTAGTCTAACTTTGCACGTCCAGTTCTTCGCACTGTTTATGCTATAATCTGCGTTTTGATAGCTAGCTCTTCTAGCTCAAACAATAGCTCTTCTAATCTATAGACTCAATGCACATGAAATGTCAGTGTTCTTTCAAGAGGCACTTCTCAACTTAATTTAATAATAAATCCTATGGGCTTCAAAGATAAGAAAGCTCTATCTTTTCTTTACAAAACAGCGTTTTAGCCAGACGGGAAACCTTTTATTTTCACGCTTTTTCAAATGATCGAACTTAAGCAGTCAAAAATAGGCTAATGAAGAGTTGATCATTTAAAGATTTCCAACAAACCCACTTTGGTGTTCAAAGTTCAACGTCTACACTCAAATTTTCTGCACTCTACGTCTACACTCAAGTATTGCCCTCTCTTTGGCCTCGATCTTTTCCACTCGGCACTCATTTTCGGCTCCAATAACGGCTCTTTTCTTGGGAAAGGCAGAGCTTTTTGTAGAGAAGCTTGGATATTCTAAAAAAACTTCTTCACAAATTGATTTAAACGAATCTAAACTTTCTGTAAATAATCTCAAAGTAATCTACCTGCTGTGCGACAAAATTCGAACTTAAGCAGTCAAAAATAGGCTGATGAAGAGTTGATCATTTAAAGATTTCCAACAAACCCACTTTGGTGTTCAAAGTTCAACGTCTACACTCAAATTTTTAAATCAATATGTTGAGTCGTTTTCTCTGAATGACGTTTTGTCATTCAGACAACAAAATATAGATTTTCTATGAAACCCGCTTTTCTTTATGGTTTCCAGACGAATCGCTAGAAGATTAGATCTTTAGAAGATAGTTCTTTTATATAAAACTGCTATGGCATCTCGAAACAGGGATAAGAAACTATTTAAAAATGCCTGCCATAGCATTTTAATATAATATATTTAATATATAATATACCCTATAATATATTTTGATATTTTGATGCTAAAAACTTAATTGAAAAAATCTGGGAACTGAGAAAAGGGCTTTGTAAAACGTCGGTAGACTAAAATGATGAGCTATAATATAGCTGTAAAAATCGAGTGGCTAAAAATCGAGCTAAGGTGCTTCTGTTCGAATAATTACGACACTTGATCGACTTAAAACTAACTTTAGAACTTAAGCTTTCAGAGCAATTTGTAAAAGAAAGCAAATAGAAAGTGTAAAGAAGCAAAAGAATCTTCACAGATTTGTTGATTCGATAATTTTTGCATTCACAGACGAAATCAAGAGAGAAAACACCAGCGATTCACTGAATTTCAAATCAGCCAATCGATTTTTACAGCTCTTTTCTTTTAGCTGATTTCTAGCTAAATTCTAACTGGTTTCTAGCTGATTTCTAGCTGAATTCTAGCTGATTTCTAGCTGATTTCTAGCTAAATTCTAGCTGAATTCTAGCTGGATTCTAGCTGATTTCTAGCTGATTTCTAGCTGATTTCTAGCTGATTTCTAGCTAAATTCTAGCTGATTTCTAGCTGATTTCTAGCTGATTTCTAGCTGATTTCTAGTTGATTTCTAGCTGATTTCTAGCTGGATTCTAGCTGGATTCTAGCTGATTTCTAGCTGATTTCTAGCTGAATTCTAGCTGATTTCTAGCTGATTTCTAGCTGATTTCTTTCAAAAGCTTTTCCCAAAAAGTTCTTCTCAAAATGCTTTGCTTATTTCTGAAAAAGAAACGTTGGTTTTTTTTGATTTTCTTTAGCTAAAATTAGTGGGTAATTATCTCAAAAAATTCTTATTTGAATATCGAAAATTTTGAAGGAAAGAAGCTGAATACTTTTATTTTAACTTTTATTTTATCAACTTCTCTAAAATCTTGATTAATAGAACTCTGGAAATTTTCTTCTATGGCCTCAGCTGCCCCACCGATAACCCTAGCCGCTAAAACTATGAGCATTTTTCATAATCTAAAAGGTGACTTTAAACAGTGCTCATTTCATCGGTAGTGGCTTGTACTGTAGACTACTGTACGGTACTGTAGACTACTGTACTGTGTTGTAGACTACTGTACTGTACTGTAGACTACTGTACTGTACTGTAGACTACTGTACTGTACTTCAAAATTCTCCTTTTTTCTATGCTATTTCATCATTTTAAAATCAAATTTCAAGTCTAACAATGACTTATCAAAAAAATGAAGTCGAAGAAGTCTAGAAATCGTGGTTTACATGGCTACAGTAGATAGAAATACTAGCTAGCTATGTACTGTAGACTATTGTACTGTGCTGTAGAGTACTGTACTGTGCTGTAGACTGCTAGACTGTACTGTAGACTACTGTACTATGCTGTAGACTACTGTACTGTACTGTAGATTACTGTACTGTACTTTAGACTACTGTACTGTGCTGTAGACAACTTAGACTCTTCAAAACGTACAACGAACAAAAACAAAGCATCAAAATACAAAATCTAGCCTCTAGCAAGAGCTTTAGTTCAAGAATGAATATTAAAATTGAATCATAAACGATTTTTCTTTTAAAATAAAGAATTGAATTAGAAAAATGTTAAAGTTAATGAAATAGATTTTCTGAATTTCGAAATGAATTTTTCTTGCAGGCGGTCTCGACTCGTTGACGGGCGGAAATGAGGGAGAAGGGGAGAAGACCGAGACTGGCGAGGATCCAGAGGTGACCACATTTCATTTGAAACTCTATTTACGTTCAAAACTTTATCCTCAAGTTTAAGTTAGTGTATCTAAGGTTTAGATTAGTGCTTACCGTAAATACTGTAATAGTACCGCACCCCCTCCTCGTAAAGTCGCGTAGTCGCAAAAGTTTTTTAGTATTTCATTTTTTCAAAGCGCTCGTACTTTCAAAAAAAGCGTCTTTGGTATCAAAAAATAGCTGAAATTCAGGGCTATTTTTTGACACCTAAACGAGCATTGTAGCTTAAACCAGTATCGAGAAAAACTCGTTCAAAGCTAGACTACGCAAGGCTCCGCACCGTTCTAGCTTTGAACCAGTTTTTCTCGACACTGGTTTATGTTGTAATGTGCGCTTTGGTATCAAAAAATAGCTGAAATTCAGGGCTATTTTTTGATACCTTTGCGCGCCTTGTAGCTTAAACCAGTGTCGAGAAAAACTCGTTCAAAGCTAGACTACGCAAGACTCCGCACGATTATTATGGGGGTGGGGTACTATTACAGTATTTACGGTAAGTTTAAGTTAGTCTTTTTAAAGAATGATGTGTATTTGAGGCTTGATGATAAGCATTTGATTAACTGGCTAACTATAAGTACTAGATGAAAACTTGTTTCACGAACGTACTGCCAAAACTAAAACCAAAACCAAAACTAACTAAAACCTACTGCCAAGCTTCGTAATGTTAGCAATTGGATTGGAAAGCAATTGGAGTAAAACGATAAAGATAAAGAAGCAGGAGAGCTGGTCTTTACTTAGCCAGTATTTTTGGTTTACTTATAGTACTTATAGTACTTATAGTTAGCCAGTAAAAGTAGATGGAAACTTGTTTTCAATATGATTTGAAACAATTTGAGATTACAAGACATTACAAGCTCTATTGCTTTCAACTTTTTGATCAATTCTTTTTTCTTTACTCTTTTAGATCTTTTAGTTAACAAGCTCTATTGTTAAAAGAGCTTTTAGAATCTTTTGAGAAAGCTTTAGCCTTTGAGAAAGCTCTTTTAGCCAAGTGAAGGAAAGATTCTTGGACTCGAACGTTCTCTTGAATCAGATTGAATCAGATGAATCTTGAATTTGAGATCTTTAGGGGAACCACATTTTTCTCTTTCTTCAATTTACAATTTACAATTTACAACTTACATTTGGTAATTCTCGTGCCGTTTTTAAACAAAAGCTAATCTTGGTAATCTTCTTTTTTAATAAAACAAACTTTTGATGAAACAAGGAACCTGGCTAGTTTGTTAATAAATTGATTTTACAAATCCATAAGTCCATTGGGTTGTCCATAAGTTGTTTACGTTTTTAAATTTGTGATTTCTTGAAAACCAATCAATAGTTTCATCTGAAATTTCTATTGAATAGTGAATAAGAATAGTCTATAAGAATAGGCTAACTAGTAGAATTTGATCGCTGAATTTGATCCCAAGGGCTTCACTTGGCGCCCCCAAAAAAGCAACCATCCTCTCAACTTGGTATTTTCGTGATGAGGATGGTTGTACAGCAATGAGGATGGTTGTACAGCAATGAGGATGGTTGTACAGCAATGAGGATGGTTGTACAGCAATGAGGATCGTTGTACAGTAATGAGGATCGTTGTACAGTAATGAGGATCGTTGTACAGCAATGAGGACGGTTGTGCAGCAATGTGGATGGTTGTACAGAGGGTCAAGGCTCATGTCATTTGGCCATCACAGTTTTCCCTTGTGAGTAATTGGACATGCCGGTCCTTTTATGGATTGAGGCTGGGAATCCGTCGACACCGGGACTCGAACCCGCGAGCTTTTGCTTACCCGGTAATCACCCTACCAATGAGCTACATCGATACATCTCCTACTGACGCCAGGGTAGGGCCTTTTGCCTTGCTATTAGAGTTGTCCATAAGTTGTTGCGGTTTTTAAATTTATGATTTCTTGAAAACGAATCAACAGTTTCATCTGAAATTTCTATTGAATAGTGAATAAGAATAGGCTATAAGAATAGGCTATAAGAATAGTCTATAAGAATAGGTCTATAAGAATAGTCTATAAGAATAGGCTATAAGAATAGGCTATAAGAATAGTCTATAAGAATAGGCTAACTAGTAGAGAAAATTCGATGACGCTGAATTTGAATTTGATGAATTTGATGATGATGATTGCTTGGTGGAATCGAGAGAATGAGCCTCTAACGTCTAACATTGATGAGTGTCAAACTCTTTGTGGACTCGCTTAGCTCTAAAGAAGCACTAATGAAAAAAAGGGATCCAGAACATTTTTGGGAGAATTGCTCGACCTAACATCCGGATACAATCGATTGCCGTCGATTTCTTAAACGCGCAAATTTTGTCGTCAAACCAATCAACAGTTTCATATGAAATTTCTATTGAATAGTGAATAAGAATAGTCTATAAGAATAGGCTAACTAGTAGACAAAATTCTATGACGATCGCTTGGCTCAATCGAGAGAATCAGACATGACTTGGTGATCGGTCACTTGTTCAACCAAATCAGCAAGGATTTGCCCTTATTTTGAGGGCTAATTTGAGAGAAAACTTCTATAAGCTAAAAAAGGATAAACCAAAAGAGCTAAGTTAAGTTGAATTGTATCCGGATGTTAGGTTGACCAATCCTGCCAAAAATGTTCTGGATCCTTTTTTTTCACTATTCACTATTCAATAGAAGTTTCAGATGAAACTGTTGACTGGTTTTCAAGAAATCACAAATTTAAAAACCGCAACAACTTATGGACAACTCTAATAGCAAGGCAAAAGGTCCTACCCTGGCGTCAGTAGAAGATGTATCGATGTAGCTCATTGGTAGGGTGATTACCGGGTAAGCAAAAGCTCGCGGGTTCGAATCCCGGTGTCGACGGATTCCCAGCCTCAATCCATAAAAGGACCGGCATGTCCAATTACTCACAAGGGAAAACTGTGATGGCCAAATGACATGAGCCTTGACCCTCTGTACAACCATCCACATTGCTGCACAACCGTCCTCATTGCTGTACAACGATCCACATTGCTGTACAACGATCCACATTGCTGTACAACGATCCTCATTGCTGTACAACGATCCTCATTAGTGTACAACGATCCTCATTGCTGTACAACGATCCTCATTGCTGTACAACCATCCTCATCACGAAAATACCAAGTTGAGAGGATGGTTTCTTTTTTGGGGACGCCAAGTGAAGCCCTTGGGATCAACTGTGTTTGAAAAAGTAAAAGTAGCTAAAAAGTACCCAAAAAGTAACCAAAAAGTAACTAAAAAGTAAGCAAAAAGTAACCAAAAAAGGGGTAAAAAGTGGTAAAAAGCCGACCTTTCACACTATGCATATCAAAAATCCGAGAGAAAAAGGGAAAAAGGGTAAAGATAGCAAAAAATGAGAGATCAAAACTCGGAAATTTCATTCATAATCGCTTTTCTGGGGATGGGAAGAACTTTCGAGTTTTTTCTTCACATCTTTTTGAGTCAAAGAAAAAGTCGTTTCTCGATTCCACCCACAAATCAGGAGAATCATTTTCGCATAGTCTTTTCGAATAGTCTTTTCGAATTATCATTTTTGCTCATCTCTCCTTTTCTGTGCTTTGAAATGAATGCGGCTTTTTCACGTATTGTTTTCCTTTTCAGATCTTAGCTTTTGTTTTAAAATTCTCGACGATTCTTCAGTTTTTCAAATTTTAGATTCACTGTTTCAAGTTTAGTTTCAAGAAATCCGACAGTCATTTGCGTTTTTTCGTTTTTAAAGCTGCTTTCTTTGTAGTAACAGTAACTTTTTAAGTTCTTTAATAATTTTAATAATAATTCGTAATAACAGTAACTTTTTAAGTCCTTCAATTCTTATAGCAAACTTATCAATTCTTATCAATTCTTTTGATAAGAATTGATAAGTTTGCTATAAGAATTGATTGAAGAACTTAAAAAGCTACTGTTACTAGAAAGAAAGCAGCTTCTTACTATTGAGTCTTTTGTTTTGTTTTTGTTAAGCTTTTGTTAAGCTATAGTAGGCTAAAATAATAAAGTGTTCAGCTAAAAGACTGAATATCTTTAGTTTAATAAAGAGTGTGAAAGATTTTGCTTGAAAGAAAGAAACAGTTTCAAAGAAACATTTTGAAAGTGTAAAAGAAAGAATGCTTTATATTCTGAGAAGCTGAAGTAGCTTTATTAGTATCTATTGGGTTGACGAATTGAAAACTGCGGGCTATTGTCATATGTCACAGTTTGTCAAATTGAAAGAAACGGTCAAAATCGCATCGTTTTTGAACGTTTTTTTTGTCGTTTTTGAACACTCGGCTTCTTACTAATGAAAAACCTTCAAAATAAAGGTTTTCAGAAACTTTTAAAAGACATTTGCAAGAGAAATGATTGGGCAAATGAAACAAAAACCCGATTTCATTTGCTAGCTTGAGATTTATTCAGTTAGAAAATGAATTTGGGTAGAAGATTTAGTACTCAACCCAATACCAAGCCTCGTAATGACTCGAGTTACTATAACGATATATTAGGTTGGTGAATTGAAAACTGCTGGCTATTGTCATATGTGACAGTTTGAGCACTTTCTTCAAAAGAAACCCATTTTGGTGTCAATGGAAAAGTTGTAGAGAATCAAAAATAAAGCTTATATCCAAATTTTCAGAACGATTCAAAAACTGGTTTTCAAGAAATGCGAAATTTACGAATTTTCACAAAACTTGCAACAAAACTTGCATTTTAAGCGAAACTACTAAGTGTATCTTTTTAGAAATTTGGCTATAAGCCTAATTTTTGATTCTCTACAACTTTTCCGTTGACACCAAAATGGGTTTCTTTTGAAGGTCGTGCTCAAACTGGGATCTCCAGTCTCCATCTCCAGTCCTCCATTTTTGAGTCTCACACTGGTCTCACACACAAACCAAAATCCTACTACGAAAGAGGAATCCGCAAATTGCCTGTAAAATGGGCAGAAGTCGTCAATAATAGTGGAAATTATTTGGAATGAATTGAAGGCTTTTATGTTGAATAAATTTTAGTTCAAAGTCTGGTAGTTTTCAATTCACCAACCGAATAACTTGGATCATAGTGCTCTTAATTTTTGTCTTTCAAATCTACGCAACTCTTTATTAGGTACTTGCAAAAGAAACTGCGAGTTATAAAACCATCAAAACAATGACTGTTTTCAATTCACCAACCCAATAGTATCTATGTGGAAATTTTGTTGGTTATTATCAAGAACCTTAGATAAATCTTAAGAAGAAAACAAGTTTCTAATAAATTTTTAACAAATTTTGAACATTCTAAACATTTCCATTCACATTTTTGAACTTTATAACATTTGTTTCAGGTCGTAGCCGCCCGCCTTGAACAGGAAGAGCGGCGCAAAGATAAACACCGAAAAATGGAGCAAGAAAGAGAGAAAATGAGACAAGGAATCAGGGATAAAGTTGGTGAAAAATTGATCTAATAGATTTATCTAATAGATTTATTATCATTTATTTAGTATAACATCCAAAAGAAAGACGAATCTGGTGGAATGGGAGGCTTCGATATGGCTGATGGGAGAATCGGCGCCGCTCGAAAGAAGACACCCGAGGAGTTGGCGGCTGAGATGCACGCCGAGGATGATAGTCAGTTCACTCAATAACCAAAGCATTGATTTGAAAAGTCAAAAAGGTGCTTTTAAACCTTAGAACCTTACTAGTTAGAGCAAAGAATAGATCTTCGAATCGATACATTAGTTGCGGTCATTATTGCCAAAGCTGCCTACTTGTGCGAAGCTTTTTCACCTTTGATTTGATTCTCTAAGGCGAGCGTTTGGTCTAAACTTCTAACTAGTCTAGAATTCTAAAAGTTTGCCTTAAAAAGATGCTTTTAAAGATATTCAGTTAGGATATCGCTATGTGCAAAGCGCATAGGTAAGATTCACAAGTACAGAGTGGCCCATAATCTGTGTTACGCCTTATATGAAGGCAGATTAAGTCAAAAATGTATCAGATTACTTAAAATTTTGCTATAATTCCATTTTTATAACATTTTATAGACCAATCTTTATTGACAAAAGCATTTCCGTTATTTACGAAGCTTCTAATAGACCAAATTTTTCTCAGAGCCGACCTCATAGGCTAAAAATTCGAATATAAGTGTAAAAGTGTTATAATAATGAAATTAGCATGAAAGTTTTAAATAATCTGACGCATTTTCGACTGATTCTGTCTTGATATGGGTCGTCCTGTACACGAGGTTACTGTAGCCATACACTGCTCAAGTTACTGTAATAAGTTGATTGTTCATTGACAAATTAATGACTTCAAATCAGCTATTGTAAGCAGCTATTCATTGCAATCAGCTATTCATTGCAATCAGCTATTCATTGTAAGCAGCCATTCATTTTCTTTATAAGTTTTCTCTACCCTCAATCTTTTCTACAGGATATCCCATTCCCAAGTATCAACCAAATAATGATCCAGGTTAAATCCTCTTTTGAAAGTCTTCAACCTTTTACTTTAAATCCCTGCAAGAATCAATTTTCAAATGTTATGAACTTCTTTATAACCCTAGCCGCCTCAAAACTTGAAATTCCAGGTTTGGTCGGTCAATTGGGCCTTACCGAGCACGTGGAGAAAGCAAAAACGGCAGTGAATGGAGCCTTCGAGATGGTCAAGGGATTCTTGCCCTTCGGGAAATAAAACAATTACCGTAAACTTGCCAATTATACCATTTATACCGTAATGCTTTTGATTTATCAACACTTGTAGCCTTCAACAACACTCGTGGATCTAGAAACACTTGTAGATCTTGTAGATCTAACACTTGTAGATCTAACAACACTTGTAGTCTTCAATTGCCATACTCTGGACTTAAATTTTAAATGTACATAGAGGTTTTCCATGAAACCAAAGATTTTCTAACAAATTTTGTTGTCTTTAATCCGGCTGAGAAAGTTACGCGTTTGAATTTGATTTTGGTGGGATTTTCGCAGAAAGTGTGGGTCAGATCGCTCGCGTTTTCGGCAATACTGTAATAGTACTGTAAGTGTACTGTAAAGTGTATTGTAATAGCTGCAATTCCATACCGTAATCCACAGAGAGCTGGATGCTCACATTCGTGCGTCAATCTGGGTGTGCCAGACTCTTTGCGTTTCTGTTTTTTTGACAGTAATCTAAAGTATTCCTAGGGCTCCTTTACGGTTCTCACTTGCGCAAACGCGCGCCACCTATGGCAGTAATCCCTGGAGTAGAGTCTCTCATAGTCACTGCGCCAGAGCTCTTGCGTTTCTATTACAATCCTACTCTACTCCTAAAGCTACTGTGTACTGTAAGACACATTAGGTCATCACCGTGGATCCGATGCAATAAACTGTTGTGAGAGTATGATCCTCCAGTACCCCAAGGGATACTGTAGGGTTTACAGTAGCCTTAGAACTGTTAAGCCTAAGCCTAAGCCTACTTCAAAGGATACTGTAGGGCTTACAGTAGCCTTAGAACTGTTAAGCCTAAGCCTAAGCCTACTCCAAAGGATACTGTAAGGCCTGCAGTAGTCTTAGGACTATAGAACCTAAGCCTAAGCCTAAGCTTACTCCAAAGAATACTGTAGGGATTACAGAGCGAATTCTCATTTTCTCAAACCCTAGCTATCTATGGCAGTAGCTCTTGAAGTGAAAACTCTCACTTTCAGCACGCCAAACGCCTCGCGTTTCTGCAAAAATCCCACACCTACTTGTAATAGTCACTTCTCGTAGCCAAAACTGTTTCAGTTCATTCATTTTCTCATTTTTTTTTCATTCAAATGCATAACCCATTCCATTCACTATGATCTGCAATAGATTTCGGCACTTTCTTCCTTACAACTTACCCTTCGCCATTCATTTTTTCATTTTTTCATTTTTTTCGTGTTTTTATTAGCAATTGTAGTATTTATTTTCTTTTTTTTTTTCGAGTTTTCTCGACTTTATGCAGTTAATTGAATAAATGTAGTTGAAAAAAAAAGGAAAAGAAATCGATAAAAAAGGTATGTACATGGTTGAAATGGTTGAAATTTAAAGAACAAAAAAAGTCGAACAAAGAAATAAAATTAAACCTCTGTTTTCAAATGATTTGGTCGAAGAAAGTTTTATAAATTGAAATATTTGAAAAAAAAAAACGAAAAGGTGGAAATTGTCGAATGGGAAAACTGAATTTGCGTAAATCGTGTTTCAAAAAAAAAAAAGACACAACTGAAAAGACATTGTTTCTTGAGTTTCTTGCTTTCAAAATGGCACAACTATATTGCCAAGTTATAGAATTTTCTTTACTTTATCATACTATTAGGTTGGAAAGAAAGTTCTCGGAAAAAGTTTGACTGGAAAAAGAAGTTTGGAAAAGAAATTGTGAAAAACTTGCACCATAGTCTTTTAGCATTAATTGTATAGCTATTTTGTTTGTCGTTTACTGATTGATTATTAGATTTTCATAAAACTATATTATTTCTGATTAAAAACGTATCTATTGGGTTGGTGAATTGAGAACTGCCGGCTATTGTCATATGTGACAGTTTGAGCACTTTCTTCAAAAGAAACCCATTTTGGTGTCAATGGAAAAGTTGTAGAGAATCAAAAATCAAGCTTATATCCAAATTTTCAGAACGATTCAAAAACTGTTTTTCAAGAAATGCCAAATTTACGAATCTTCACAAAACTTGCAACAAAAATTGCATTTTAAGCGAAACTACTAAGTGTATCTTTTTAGAAATTTGGCTATAAGCCTAATTTTTGATTCTCTACAACTTTTCCATTGACACCAAAATGGGTTTCTTTAGGTAGATTTTAGGCCTAGATCTATTTATAGAACCCCCACAAGGGGCGTCTAAAGTCAAGATTTCGAGAGATCAGAAGGGTGTCATTCTAATCCAGCATTTATTTCCATCTGAGAGCTGAGTGGAGAATTGGGAACTTTTTGTAACCGAAACCCAATGAAGGCCAAAACAGAGATGATTTGCGGAGTTGAATGGTTGCGGAGTTGAACTTAGATGGTTTGCGGAGTTAAATGGAAACAACGAAAGCAAGGCTCATCTTCCAGACCGTTACAAAACTTTTCGTTCAATTAAGCAAGTCTGAGAAAAAGAGTGATTTCGGTTGTCAAGAATTGTCAAGAATGCGAAGAACAAAGAAACTGGGGTTCCTTTGTTGTCGTTTTGTTTGTGAGTGTCGTTCTATTAGACGGTGTCATTCTAATCCAGCATTTAAGGTAACTGTTTTACTGTTAACTGTTAACTACATAACTGTTTGAGTCACTTTGGTGAATCACGATTTACGAAAGAAACGAGTTCTCATTGTTATTCGATTTTTTCTGAGGTAGAAGCGTTTCCAGAGTATCACTGGCTCCGTGCTGTGCCTCTTCGCGTCTCTAAATTTAATTTTTTATAACAATAGATAAGTCGAAAGCATTACAGTAAGCTTTGAGTACCACAAAAAACAAGAGAAACCTTTAATAACGAAAAAGTGGATCGATTTTGATCGGCTGCTATAGGAAAAGTTGAATTAAAAGACTTTTTTAGTACTTTAATTTGTTTTTTTCGATTCTATTTTTCTAGTTTTCTAGTTTTCTATTTCTAGTTTTCTATTTCGATTTCTATATTTTAAATAACGATACTTCTCTGGCCATTTTCTGTTTTCTTTGGCCATTGATGACCATAACGACGGCGAGCACACAAACGATAATCAGAGTGGAAATAATGAGCAAAACGGCAAGATTTGACGAGACTGAGTAGCCATTCTGGAAACTTTTGGGTTTATGGATTATGCTGATTTTAAGTGAAAATCCATAGCTAAGCCCAGTTCTGGCTTCTGGTTGGCCAAGAATTTCTGTGGATTAGGCTGCACGAAAAAAAAATGGCCAGTATTCGTTCAGAAGCCTGGCTTTGGACCTGGCTCTGGCTATATACAGGGTGGCCCACAATTAGCCGCACTCCAGATGGCCTAGATTGATCGAAATTGGGCCTAGATTGGTCAAAATTTGGCCTAGATTGGTCAAAATTTGGCCTATATTGACCAAAATTGGGCCTAGATTGGCTAAAACTGGGTCAATCGGTCTGCTTTTTCTGGAGATAAATCTTAAGTATTTCTCGTGAAACGGCCCATTACCTAATCGATTCAACCTTTCAATTTTTAATATGCTCTTCAAAAGTTGAGAAAAGTTTGGCCAATCTAGGTCCTCTGAAGTGCGGTGGCCAATCTAGGCCCTCTGAAGTGCTGAATTGTGAACCACCCTGTAGAAATTTTGATAAAAGAAGCAAGAAAACAATGTGCTTAAACTGCTTAAACGTTTTGAAAAGTTGCGCTTAGAAAACCAGCTACTCTGACTACTTTTACTTTAAGAAAATAGTTACCTTACATTAAGAAAATAGTTACCCTAAAGTTCAAATGCTAAAATCAAATGCTTTTTGATCACTAGAGTTCGAATAAACAAGGAATTTATAAAAACTGATTATGGGGCAGGTAAAGTAAAAGCCACGTCAGGCAAGGACGTTCAAACCTGGCCCAGGCAGTCATTAGACAGACGACTAGATGCTAGACGACTAGATGCTAGAGGACTAGATGCTAGAGGACTAGATGCTAGACGACTAGATGCTAGACGACTAGACGCTAGACGACTAGACGACTAGACGACTAGACGACTAGGTGCTAGACGACTAGACGACTAGACGCTAGACGCTAGTCGACTAGATGCTAGACGACTAGATGCTAGACGACTAGACGCTAGATTCTAGATGCTAGACGCTAGATGCTAGACGCTACACGCTAGACGACTAGATGCTAGATGCTAGACGCTAAACAAACGACTAGACGACTAGACGCTAGACGCTAGACAGTTCAGACTTTTTAGGTACCATAATATAAAATTCGGGTCCCCGGTCACAAAGGAAAATTGATTAAAAACACTTTGTCACTCGTGTCATTCTAGCTTTCATTCTAAACTTTACCCCACTCACCATTGAAAAGAAAGATTTTGAGCCTTCAAATTGTCGATAGAATTTCGAGGTTGAGATCTGATTCTGCCCGAGTCCGCAAATGTGCATCGGGTAGTCGACCGGATTCGAATGACAGACACAAGTCGTATTTGATCCCCTGAACATTGCCTTGTTAGTTTTATTTGCTCAGAATTTGTCGAAGTTCTTCTGGCAGCAAAACTCACTCAAAATCCGGCTTCCCATCACTGCACTTCACGTGATTACAGTACTCATCGGGTTGATTGAAACAGCAGTCACAACTAAGATTTTCTCGAAATACTCCTCTCTTTGGCTTAAGTTTAAAGGTGTGGGTGGGTTCTTAATAAAAGGTGGAGATCTGATTCTGCCCGAGTCCGCAAAATGTGCATCGGTCGACCGGACAATAGTCGACCGAATTCGAATGACAGACACAAGTCGTATTTGATCAAGAAAAGTTCATTTCTTACCCATTTTTCCTTTTGAAGCACCTCGTGATAAACTGTTGGCAGTTGCTAGAATCAGTGAACTTTCTAAAACAGATAGCTTTGAATAACTTAGCTTCGAACTTAAAACAATAGTTTTCTTAACTTAAAACAGATAGTTTTCTAACTATTTTTCTAGGTAAACGGTAAAAACACTGAAGAAAACACTGAAAACACTAAAAACGAACCTGCATATGCAAACGGTCGGCACATTGATATGTGAGTTCGGAGGTAGCGAGAAAAGGGCCTGGGTCTGATTGCAAAAAATCGCGTTCCAATCAGGCAAACATCTATAAATAAGCCGTAGTTTGAAAAAAAGTAAAAGCTGATAAAAAGCTGATCGATAATTCTGATCATGTTTTAAGCAAGCTTATCAGACACACGCTTAGACACACAGCAAGCTTATCAGACAGACAATTTGATATCAGGCACATAAAATCAATTTTGTATCAGCATTTTTATGTGCTCGTAACTCTGCGAGTCTTACTAGCTTTACACATAATCTCATCTACTATCTATAAATCTACTATATATACTATCTAATCGCATCTACTATATATAAAAAAGGAGTGTCCATCCGTCAGTCACACTCTGGATCTCGGCTCCCCGTGAACCGATTACTTTCCACAAACATTTTTGATCGATAGGGAATTCAAAATGAATCGTTACATACTTTTTGATCAAAAACCGTAAGAAAATCAAAAAAACTACTTAGCCACGTCGCTTTTTGCCTTCGGCGGCGCTTGGGAGGGCGCGGGAGAGGGGCGCCATCGCTCCTCGAGGTGATCAAGCGGTAAGCGTCCAAAGAGGGCGCGGAAGGGCGCGAGCCACCCAGTATAGATGTCGGTGCTTCAGAGGGTATCAGGGTTGGCCCCGATACTGCTTTGAAAGGTTAAGATCCCAATATTTTTACAGGGGTCTCGGACGGAGCGCAGGAGAGGAAGGGGCCCTTTAACTCGAGAGATCAAACTATGCGTTAACCCTAAAACACTTAGCCGGAATTCGGCTGGTTTATAATAAACGTAAGACGTGGTTAATAAGTTATTAGAGGTTTTGGACAATTTATAGTGAATTCTAGAGTTATAGCGAATTCTAGAGTGTATAGTGAATTCTAGAGTTATCGTGAAATCACTTTAAACACAATTACGCTCAACTTAAAATTGTCGAGAATGAAATTTTTGATAAAAAGTTCATTTAAATATCGAAGCAAGGGCACGCTTCTATGAAAAATACCCATTTTCATTTTGTATACCTGCATGGATGAGAGAAAACTGATCGCCCAGGCCGGCTGAAGTACTCGGTTGGAGCATGGTGAATGCCAGGTCCTGTAATAAAGTAAAGTAAAGAATGGCAAAGGGAAATTTCGGGAGAGGGGATTGAACCCTTGACTTTTTGCTTCTTTTGACCTTTTCGCAAATGCTCTAACCACTCGGCTATCCAGTATCTGTTAGAAAATTGAGGCTAAATCTTACACACCTGCTTGTATGCTTTATCTTTTAGGCGCACTTCAAAATGGGAAACATTCCCCTTTCTGGTTCACTAAGCTATTCTTTGGGATTGCGAGAGAAAGGATGTGCTTTTGATTTTTCAGGCCAATTGTGCTGAATAATCAGCATGATCGCTGCAATTTACACTTAAGTATAGTTCAAAAAAACGTGAAACCACTACGGAAAAGTATATCTTCCACTAAATTCTTGTCTTTCCTGAATATCTTTTCTTCGCCAAATATGGTTATATATTGTTTAGACCAGAAGCTCCACAGCAAAAAAACTTTTTGGAGGAAAAAGCAAAAGAATTGGCGGCGAGAGGTGGCGAACCCGTGACCTCTCTTCGGTTCGTTTGAAAGACGCACGCGTTAGCCCCTCGGCCACTTGATGGCGCAGTGCAAGCGGCCTTGTCTTTGGCTCACACCCGGATTCGACTCCCGCCCGCGTCGGCACTTTTGGCTTTTTAAAAATGTAAAAACATGTTGCCCGACTACATGAAATCCTAAGCCAAACTAACTATAAATCATTTGAAACGGTCCTCTTGGGGCTGAGGAGTAGCGGGCACAGACAGACAGACAGACAGATAGTAGATTTACGGTATTCATTATCTCGAAGTACACTTTACTAGTTACTAGGTCATTGTGGCCTTTCCGAATGAGGCCTAGCCTGTCCGATCCAGTTTTTTACGCTGCTTCCGGATCCGCTTTTAATTTTTGCAAAACGCATCGGAAACACGAGATATTTGGCAGACAAGTTTTAGCTATACCCATTCCAGGTCATCTTATGGAAGCCTTTCAACATTGATCGTGGTATAATGGATAGTAGTACTGTCTACAAAACCTTTCAAAAGTCCCTTGGCGTGAGTTCGAATCCTTTAGCTGACAAAGCTTTTTACAATTTTTTTAGAACAACTTTTGATCGTAAGATAATTCAGATAGAAGGACTGCTACGTGTTTTAGCCTAGAAAATCTTTCTTTCACCAACCCGTATCACATTTGTATCGATCACAGTCTTCTTGAATGCTTCCGTCTGGGCATTGCCGCCCAAAAACAAATTGAAAGAAAAACAAGAGAATTTTCGTGACGTTCAATTGATTCGTAGCTGAATTTTTTGAAGTTTAAACTGTAAGGTCTAAATTGTAAAGTTTAAATTGTAAAGTCTAAATTGTAAAGATTAAATTGTAAAGTTTTTATTGTAAAGTTTAAATTGTATAGTTTAAATTATAAAGTTTAAATTGTAAGGGTTTAATTGTACAGTTTTAATTGTAAAGTTTTTATTGAAAAGCTTCAATTCTAAAGCTTAAATTGTATAGTTTTAATTGTAAAGTTTAAATTGTAAAGTTTAAATTGTAAAGTTTAAATTGTAAAGTTTAAATTGTAAAGTTTTTATTGTAAAGCTTCAATTCTAAAGCTTAAATTGTATAGTTTTAATTGTAAAGTTTGAATTGTAAATTGAATCTTTACTTACCCTAAAGTCTCGAGTATAAGTTCTGCCTTAATTTACATTCGCTTTAATTGCTTTGAATTTCTTTTTGTTGGGTTTTTACACATTTTTATTGTTATATAAACTTTTATTATTGTTCTTGGAGCGCGGGATACTACAGGGTGACAGCCTAACACCATTGCTATTTGTTATGGATACATCCAGACGATAGTGTTGAAGAAGACGCTGGAAAGCATCTCTTTCGACCGTCGACGTGGACTTTGGCCGGATGAAGAGGCCAGGGAGGGATCCATAAGACTGAGCACCGGGGAGGAGCAGGGCGGACGCGCCGAGCCACGCCCGGAGCAACAAATAACAGCCATAACAGCAACAAATAACAGCATGAAATTGCTATAACCCTCAATGAATTTACTTCTATTATTGTTCTTAAAAAGCAAAAAAGTTATGCTGCAGCGGGGTTCGAACCCTCGACACACCGCACCGGAGACAGCCGTCAATTTGCATACGAAAACCAAACAGAACTTATACTCGCGACTTTAGGGTATTTATTTAGGTATTTTTAGGCCATTTTTCATTTTTAGGCCATTTTTGATGCCTTTTTTGGTTCCACTGACCTTTAAAAAGGAAGGAAAAGAGAATTCTTTTTCTATCGTTAAAAAGAAAAGACATTGGGTTTTTAAAAATGCTAATCAACCCGAATCTTTACTTACAATTGTATACCTTTTTTGACCCAGTAATCGTTTTCAGTTTCTTTTTCATTTTCTTCTGCAAGCAACTAATCTTTCTACTACTATTAGGTTGATGCAAAAGTCTTTTTTCATTTTTTCGTACTTCCGTTAAAAGTAACAAATGCACCAATTGAACAACGGTTTATTGCATTCGAAAGGCCAATGATTTTTCTGCAAAATGACATTAAAACGAGTTTAAAATGTCTTATGTCTAGATTTTTTTGAGAGCCTGAAGTCGGGTAGTCAAAAAAGGCGACGGCTCGATGATGCATTTTAGACGCTTTAGCTAAGGAAACCAATCTTGATGTTAATAAATAAAAGATAGAGCACAAAAAGTTAGATATTTTTCCAGATTTTCAGAGAAATTGATTCAGCCAATTTCTTTATAGAGGTTTTTATAGATTTTTATGAAAAACCCGTTTTCACTCTCGAATTTGCTTGAAAGTGAACCCAAATTGACTTAAAAAGATGGGAAATTGAACAATAAACACTTTTCATTCAGAGCAAACCATAGGTTAATTGATGACTTTGTTATTTTTCAAAAGAAGTACGAAAAAAATGAAAAAGACTTTTGCATCAACCTAATATAAAACCTTCCTAAATTGAATCTTTACTTAACACTTACCTATCTGCATGAAGACATCGGGTTAAAGATGAGGTGAAAGATGAAAGATTTGTTTCAAGTTCCTCTAGTGAATGACACTAAATTTGACACTGAATTTGAATTCATTTCAAGTTCAAAACAATTTTGAAAGCGTAAACTGAAGAAATTTGGCACTTTGGTGAAAAAAATCAGTAGGCGAGTGGGGAAATAAACAAGAAAATGAGGGAGATTTTAACTGATAACAAGGAAAAGTCCAGAGAAGCTCTGGATAAGCAAATATTGGAAACATGATGAAAAATAAGCAAAAAAAATGAGCTAAAAAATATTCAAATGATCCCGTTTTTCGCTTGAAATCATCAATTTTCGATTTGCATAATCGCTTTGGGGAAAAAAAGCGAAACGCTTTGACTCAAAGCTTTGACTTTGACTTTTTTCCCGGAGATCGTTACTTTTTACAATGCTTTGCGCCAATTCCCAGCCACTAAACAAATTCTTTTTGTGAAGAATCGTTTTGAGAAAATGATTCAAAAGAATAAAATGTGTTGAAAAGAAATATATGTTGATGTTTTGATCTATATAATTTCTTGTGAGACCGTGTCTCGGTGTGGTTCAATACTTGTCTTCAATACTGGTTCTTGAAAACGCACAATTTATCCAACTTTCCCTTATTAGGGCAACTTCGCTCAAACTGGAGCAACCTGGCGCTATCACAATCAATTCAACACTTGCATGTGAAAAAAGGATGATAAAAAGCAAAAAAGGAGAACAAAAACTCACTCAAAAGCAAAGCTTGAATAACGGGCTTTTTAAGTATACAAGCTACAACAAACGGACAGCTGAATATCGTCTAGTGACTGATTACGGTAGTTTATCCATCAACTTTGAATTTTAACTTGTGTATTGAATTTTTGACTAACTGCTGAGCAGTGGCAATTCGCCACAATGTGACTAGAATGTGTTCCTTTCGAGTAATCGCTTTCTAAAACGCTTTCTAAAACGATAAACTTGTTTAAAAGCTGGATGAGTGGCTTGCCTGCTTGTCTTTGAAGCAAATACCGTATTTCTTCGAATAGAAGACCGGGTAAAGAGTATCATCGCGTACTCCTGCGTAGCAGCCCTTTTCTTTTCTGCATAAAAGCTTTCAAGCAAGTGCTACAGAGCTGGAAAATGGCTCAAAAATCTGTTAGCTCACGTGGTATTTTTGAGTCATTTTCCAGCTCTATAGCACTTCATTGAAAGCTTTTATGCAGGAGTACGCACTGCTACGCAGGAGTACGCGATGATACTCTTTACCAGGTCTTCTATTCGAAGAAATACGGTATATCAAAGCCAGCAGATTTTGATGTTTTTATCGAAAAAGAGCATTCTCCAAAGCCCCAGAAAGGGTTTTCATTATCAATATTTTAAGTAGCAGGTTTCAATCGACAATAGATAGGATTATATAACGTTAGAGTATTAAAAGCTGGATGAGTGGCTTGCCTGCTTGTCTTTGAAGCAAATAGCCGTTCAAGTGGCACGTTCGATCCCCGTTTGAGTCAAATTCTTTGCCCTTTTTCATAAAAAACTTTTGGCTCTTTGCTAGATCGATTCAGATCGTTTTAGTTAACATTTATTAAAATTAGCTTTCAAAATTAGCTTTCAAAAGCATAGAAAAGTAATAAAACTGTTTGTTTAAACAACTGATAGACAACAATTGATAAACAACAATTGAAAAAAAGCACTTTTTAGAATACGATTCCTTGAGATTTACTTGAGATAAAATAAAAAATGATTTACGCCAATTTATTCAAGTACTTGAGGAACACAATCTAGATTTGTGACACTTTTTAAAGCAAAAACCCAACTTTGTTATACCTAGAAGAACCATTGCACAGATTAAGCCGGTTTTTATGATAAAATTTCACTTACTAGGGATACTTCTGAACTTAAAAGCGACTTTTGAAGACCTAGCACATTTTGTTCAATTTTTTGCGCTGAATCCGATGGTGTAGGTCGTTTAGGAATGAGGTTTCTAAAGTTTCGAGATATTTAGCTTCAAACTTTGCACTGAAATCTCGACCACGCGATGAAAGTCAAGCCAATGGCCGATCCAAACCTAACAAAAACACAAAAAGACAAGGATTTATGAGCCTAGCTCACTATCCACTAGGCCACGAGTTTATTTCTCGAGTTTTCTGTCCATACGACGTCAATATGACGTCCATATGAAGTCCATATGAAGTCCGTATGACGCTGCGTGGTCGAAATTCGTGTGATCGAGATTTTAGCGTAAACTTTGAAGTTAAATCTCTCGAAACTTTAAAACCCTCATCCCCAAACGATTTACATCATTGGATTCAACGCAAAAACTGCACAAAACGTGCTACAGGGTGCGGCATAAGTATGGTTACAAGGTTGTAACATTGATTTAAGAAACTGATTGATTTTTATTTCTTGCCAAAGGATTTCTTAATTTGAATGCTTTTTTTATATTATGTAGCAGTTTTTAAGCAAATTTTTAAGTGGGACATAACGGTGAAGGCTTCTCCCAACCGTGCCGCTATTCTTCAGCTTGGAGCACAAGGACGATCAACTTCGGATATTGCCCAACTGCTGAAAATGCATCGAATGACGGTATACCGGATTTTGCAACAAAATAGAGTCGAAGAGCTTCCTAAAAGTGGACGTTCGCCAAGATCACGAGCCAAAAGCCGTCTTTAAGTTTAAAAGCATCCCTAGTAAGTGAAATTTTATCATAAAAACCGGCTTAATCTGTGCAATGGTTCTTCTAAGTATAACAAAGTTGGGTTTTTGCTACAAAGTTTGCTTTAAAAAGTGTCAAGTGCAATGTGCTAGATCACGAGCCAAAAGTCGTCTTTAAGTTTAAAAGCATTCCTAGTTTTTAGAGTAACATTGCTTACTAGTTGCATTGCTTTATCTGCATGAATAACGTGCCAACAAAATTTGGCCTTAAGAAATTGGACAAGCAAACAATAAAGCAAGCAAATAGGTAATTATTTCACAATTACAAAGCAACTAGTAAGCACTTCTACGATAATTTCGATAAAAAAAGAGTATTCAAATAGCAAATCAACTGACAATTTCTATGAAAAAAGAGAAAAAAGAAACAATTTCTATGAATTCAAGTCTAAGAAAGCTTTCTCAAAGTGTAAATTTTCTAAAAACCAATATGAACCAATGGTGGCTCAAAAATTCGTTTAGAATCGCTGTTTTCACTGGAAAAAACAAAGCTCGGATGTCAAAAAATCAATAGATTTTTTTTAGTTAGCAATTTTATTTTACTCTTGCTTTAAAGAAGAAGTTTTAAAGAAGTGAAAATGTTCACAATTTAGAAAAGACGAGAATGAAATTGGTTGATAATTGGCCCTCGATGGGTCAAATTTGAAGAGTGGTGTTCGCGTGAGGGAAAAGAGTAAAGAAATGAGGGTGGAAATAAGGAGAATTGGCCTCCTTGAAAGGAAACAGTTCGGGGAAAACTATCTGAAATAAAAAGCAAATGGTTACAGATTTAAAAAGGAAAAAAACAAAATAAAAAAAACAGAAACGAATCTTTCTTTGGCTCTCATCGATCTCTGCGAAGACTTTGCTTAATCTTTTTGCTTTTTTGTTTTGATACTTTAGGTTTTCTTAGATCAAATCGAATATCGGCGATTGGAACTATTAAAAAGCGAACAAAAATGGGAATGGATCACTGAACAAAATACGGAAATCATCCTGAAAATTACTTGATGTATCACTTGTTTTCACTTTTCGCAAACGCAAGAATCTAATGCTCTGATCGTGAGAGTACTTTTAGTCAAAGTACAATAGAACTGTACTTTTACATAAACAGAAGGAACGGAAGTAACGGAAGGGACGGATGGAAGGGATGGAACGGAAGGAACGGAAGTAACGGAAGGAACGGATGGAACGGATGGAACGGATGGAACGGATGGAACGGAAGGAACGGAAGGAACGGAAGGGACGGATGAAACTGATGGAACGGAAGGAACGGAAGGAACTGATGGAACGGATGGAACGGATGGAACAGAAGGAACGGATGCGACGGATGGAGCGGAAGGAACGGAAGTAACGGAAGGAACGGATGGAACGGATGGAACGGATGGAACGGAAGGAACGGAAGGAACTGATGGAACGGATGGAACGGATGGAACAGAAGGAACGGATGCGACGGATGGAGCGGAAGGAACGGATGGAACGGATGGAACGGAAGGGACGGATGAAACTGATGGAACGGAAGGAACGGATGGAACTGATGGAACGGAAGGAACAGATGGAACGGATGAAACGGCAGGAACAGATGGAAGGGACGGAAGAAACGGAAGGGTGAGGTATGATCACTGCCACAGCAAGCGCAAGATTTTAAAATACGAATCGATTTTCAAAGGGTTTTACTCTACAATTTAGATTACACTTTAATATTTTAGTGTTACAGAAACAAAAAAGTCTGGCGCACTAAAGTGATGCTAAATAAGGGACTTCGTAAGATGATGCGCGTTTGTGTAGAGGAAATTGTTATTTAAACGCAACGTCTGCTAGGGAAAGGCACCAGGTTTTGATTTTTTCGGGTTTTTGATGCGCATCTAGTGTATTGCTAGAACACTGTACATAAACAGAAGGAAAAGAAGGGACGAATGGAACGGAAGGACTTTGAATTGATAGAGCTTTGAATGGGGATTCTGAATCCGCTTTTAGTTTTTTTAATGGAGCTCTGTATCGCAAGAGATCTAGCATCAAAGTTTAAGACTCGAGATCCGACAATATTTCACCCGAATTCCCCAGATCGGATGCTGAAAGCTGGTCTAGAGGTAAATCGCTGGCATCGAGCCGGAAGGATCCTGGTTCGAGCCTCTGCTGAAACGCTTTTTGGCTCTTTTAAGAAAATTTGATTGCAATTAGGAAAGAACGACAAAATGGACAAAAAATTGATGCGCGTTTGTGTAAGGGAAATTGTTTTTCAACGCAACGCTTAGGATTTCAATTAAGAACGTAAAATCCTTCGATTGAACAAGGAACTCAAATATTTCATAACACTATTCTATTTGCTTTAAAATCCCAAAAAAAAAACAAGTAAACTCTTTTGGATGGATGACCTCAACTCCGATGAGTTTTGGGCTTTTTGTGCAAACTCTCAGTGGAGTGAGTGATGAGAAAAATATGAGGTGGCGAGCGGCGAAGAATGACTGAACGGGGAAGATGTCACACTCAAATGCCTTCAACCAATAGGTCCATCCTTTTTCGGAATGCTCATTCACTTTCTAAAGAAAGACAGCTTAGAAAGTCGATCATTTGTTGCATCTCTTCAAGTCTAGTCTAGTTTAAATGGCTTTGGGAAATTGAATTCGATAGCTATGGAGACAAGACTTTTGGATTTCTTTAGGATAGTGGTTATAATAAATAATTTGTGGTAGTATATAATAAATGGGGATAAGATAATTTAATTTGAAATTAAATAGTGAAACAAAGAAGCTAGAAAGTGAATAAAAAATGTAAATAAAAAGTGGGGGAATAAATATCTGGTAAGTACATAGTAACTAGTAAGTACATAGTAACTAGGAAGTACATAGTAACTAGGAAGTACATAGTAACTAGGAAGTACATAGTAACTAGGAAGTACATAGTAACTAGGAAGTACATAGTAACTAGGAAGCATACTAACTAGTAAACATGGTAAAAGTAAGTTATAAGTTAGAGGCACATAAGTTACAGTTTACAAACAATTTAGATCCGGAAAGTTGTCAAAAAAAGCGAAAGAACTAACCGTAAAATTGTTGGAATTCGCATTTTCAAATTGTATTTCAGGTAAAAGTTTGCAATTTGAATTTGAAAAACCGGCAGTTGATGTGATGAAAAACCGGTTTTTCAAATGCAAATTTGGTTTTTAAATTGTTATCAAATTGTTTTCAAATTCGTTTTTAAATTCGTTTTTAAATTCGTTTTTAAATTGGTATTCAAATTGGTTTTCAGATTTCAAATGCAAATTTCAAACTTTTGCCTCAATTTATGAACTCAAATGCAATATGGAAATGTTATTAAAATTTGGTAAAGCTTTTTGACTGTCTAGCAATTTTTAGTACTATTCAAACGCTCAAGGATTTGATCCTGGAATCGATCCTGGAAAGCTGGACTCAAGCACGATACGATCCACCGGTCTTATCGACTCTTTTTGTACTAATGACGTACTAATCCTGATATTTTGTCGCTCAAGTTTTGAAGGACTTTTGTTATCTCATTTCGCGGAAAGTTCTCGGTAAATTTGTACTAGTTTTCAAGAGGAGATTCAGGGCTATCGAATGATTATAATATTAGGTGTGTGAAAAAGTCATCCACATTTTTTATTTTTATCTGATGACCAAATAAGACGCTGTCTTCTCGAAAACCCTCGTTCAACCTCTTCAGAAATAGGCTTTACATTAAATTGTGATGGGTCAACCGTAAGGAAACGCTTGAATGCCATGAATTTTATCAAAAAGTTGGACAAATGGATACCGCATGAACGATAACGCGCGACCACATGTCTCTTTACAGACTCGACAAAAAATCCAGAGTGTTGGATGAGAGGTTTTACCACATCCACCTTATAGTCCAGACCTTTCTCCATCTGATTATTATTTATTTTTGTCTCTGTCTAACTTTTTGGCCAATAAACGGTTCAATTCCGAAGAAGATATCAAAACCGAGGTTGATCTTTTCTTCGCCTCTAAGGACCAAGATTTTTTATTATCGTGGAATGTCTTTACTTGTAGAATGTTGGCAAAAGGTTGTTCTTTCGAATGGTGATTACTTCGTTGAATAAAATTATTTTAACAAAACTTATGGTCTTTTATATTTAAACGTTAAAAACGTGGATTACTTTTTCACACACCTAATAGATAGTCTGACTTTGACAGAGATTTTCTCTATGTTTTTACATCATGTTTCTCTATGTTTCTATGTCAAATTTAATGTAGATTCTAATAAAAGAAACCAGGAGTTGATTGGGTTTCTAGACCTGGAGTTATGACGATTCTAGACCTTTTCTAGACCATTTAATTGGATCGACTCTTCTAAGTATTAGGTGTGTGAAAAAGTAATCCACGTTTTTTATTTTTATCTGATGGCTAATAGTTCAGTTTATCTTTAAATTTTTCCCAAATTATCCGTAAAATAGTAAAACGACTACGAAACTGTACACCCAAAATGCCGTCGTCGTGAATGTGCCTATTATGTGCCTATTATGTGCCATATTATGCCATATTATGTGCCTTATGATGAAGACAGATTCAGTGCCCACATGTTACCCTCAAGTGCCCAAATGTTACCCTCAAGTGCCCACATGTTACCCTCAAATCTTCGGGCGCTTATTCCTCTTTTGTGAGCGCTCAGAAGTTTTTCATTTTTTCTAGATTTTTCTAGATAATCTAGACTGAATACCTTAATCCAGACTAAATACCGTAACCTAGCTATTCTAGACGGAATATCCTATTCTAGATTGAATACCGTAATCCAGACAATCTAAACTGAATACTCTAATCTAGACTGAATACTCTATCTAGACTGAATAAGCTAATCTAGACTAAATACCGTAATCCAGCTAATGTAGACTGAATACCTTATTCTAGGCTGAATACCTTAATCTAGACTAAATACGGTAATCCTGTTAATCCAGACTGAGTACCTAAATCTAGACTAAATGTCGTAATCCAGCTAATCTAGAGTGATTACCCAATCAAGACTAAATACCGTAATCCTGTTAATCTAGATTGAATAACCTAATCTAGACTAAATACCGTAACCTAGCTATTCTAGACTGAATAACCTAGCTATGCTAGACTGAATTTCTTAGCTGCAGTGCACACAACATTTCACAGGATTCAGATTTTTGATCTGTTACTACTTGTAAGTTTTGTACAGTACAAGTTTTTGTACTTGTAATTCCCTGTACCTTTCGATATTTGATTCAGCTTTATTTTAATCTAAAGACCTTTCTAGAACTAATTTAAATAACATAAAGCTAGTGTGGCACAGAGAAATATGCTTTCTGTTCTCTCATTGTTGCGGAAAAATCAATTGTGCACTCATTTTCCCGAAACATATTGAAAATAGAAGTGGCAAAGTTGACACGGAAATTGGACGAAACAAAAGAAAAAGAGGCACAGATGAGAATAATTAAAGCAATTTTCGAAACAATGGGAAATTGGTGTGACGGAGAATTGAAGGCGGATCTAATATTAGACCGAAAAGAGCAAAAAGGAGAGCTTTGGCCTTAGGCCCAGACTTTTGGCCACATTTCTCAACAGGAATTTCCACTTTGAAAGTGGCTTTGAAATGGAAAACATGTAAGAGGTGGAATTGAGGGAAAACTCTTTCCAACAGACCCAAAATCTCTTTCTATCCACTTAGTGAATTTAAAAATTCACGCGTTTAATCGAAAATTCGAAGATTGTCTAAGCACTTGGTCAAAGAACCGAAAGATGAAAATGCAAATTTGTAATCCAAATGGGGAATAAACGATTGCCAGCTTGGTGGGATTCTCCGATTTAAAATAAGCCAAGCTGATAGACAGCTTAAGCATCTAAATGAAATGATTCACCTGCTAAAAGATATTGAGCTTTTTGGGTAACTTGAGGTCATGTTCTTAAACTTTTGTCCGGCACTGTAATATTGCTGGGAATATTGAGGGAATATTGCTCACTTTTGGTGTCAAAATGAAGATAAAGAGCTAATAAAGCGGAACTATTCCCTCAAATTTCTCCATTTTGTAATATCATTGAGTTATAGGCTTCAAAAAGAGAGAGAGAGAGAGCCTGTGTTTCTCTGTTTTCACTAAAACACGATTTTTTGAAAAAATCTGTCAGATCAATTTGAAATCAACGCAGAAAGTGTCAGAAAACACATTTTTCCATGTCAGAAAACATATCTTTCATCAAAGTTCATCAGAAAACGCATTTCGCGCCGATTTGCAATAGCCAAATAGTCAAATAGCCTAATAAAACCAACAAGGAGATGAGCTTAAAGTGAAATTGAAAATGAAAATGAAAATGAAATGAAACTCAAAGTGAAATTCCAGCCTCATCCCCAATTTTTTCAATTTGTGCGCCTTAAATTTGTGATTTTTTTTTATTAGCCATTAGAAAAGCTCTATAAGAATTAGTCTCTATATGAAAACCTTATGCTAAAACCTTAAATTCATCATTTTCAAACGACCCTAATAAAATTTTTGATGTTTTTTGTGCTTATGGGGAATCTTTTTGACTCTCTAGGGTTGGAAGGGCGAAATTTGTCGTCAATAGCTCAAAAGATGGGTCTTTTCGCCCGAAAATTGAGGGTTTTTGAGGGATTGTTGAGCATTTGTGAGCGAGAATCATTTGTGGAGAAAAGAAAAAAGGAAATGGCCGGGGAAATTCATGACAATGCTGGTGAAACGACTTTGATGAAACGACTTGTGAAGAAAAGGCCAATTGAAAGGCCAATTGACTTTAACCTGATTGTCGGGAGAACGATTGAAAAGGACATGAAAAAGACGCAAAATTTCGCCAATTATTCTATTGAAAAAAAAAAAAACTTAGTGTATTGTTTGTGAAATCGTTTTTCTTTAAGTGAGGGTGGAAATCATGGGAAATCTGGTTTTTAGGAATTGAAAAGATCAACGATTCGAACGTCATGGTATAAAAAAGTACAAGAAAAGCGCACAAAATAGCGCTTAATTGCACAAAATGCTTTGCGAAGTCATCAGTGAACTTACCCTTAAAAAACCGGCCGTTTATAAGGCGACCGTATATAAGACGACCTTGTATAAGGCGACCGTATATAAGGCGACCGTATATAAGGCGACCTTGTATAAGGCGACCTTGTATAAGGCGACCTTGTATAAAGCGACCTTGTATAAGGCGACCTTGTATAAGGCGACCGTATATAAGGCGACCGTATATAAGGCGACCGTATATAAGGCGACCGTATATAAGGCGACCTTGTATAAGGCGACCGTATATAAGGCGACCTTGTATAAGGCGACCTTGTATAAGGCGACCGTATATAAGGCGGCCTTGTATAAGGCGACCGTATATAAGGCGACCGTATATAAGGCGACCTTGTATAAGGCGACCGTATATAAGGCGGCCTTGTATAAGGCGACCGTATATAAGGCGACCGTATATAAGGCGACCTTGTATAAGGCGACCGTATATAAGGCGACCTTGTATAAGGCGACCGTATATAAGGCGACCGTATATAAGGCGGCCTTGTATAAGGCGACCTTGTATAAGGCGACCGTATATAAGGCGGCCTTGTATAAGGCGACCTTGTATAAGGCGCCCGTATATCAGGCGACCTTGTATAAGGCGGCCGTATATAAGGCGCAAAATTAGAATTTCGATACTGTGGCTAAAATATGAGAAAAGCTCGCCAGTATATCATCTCACAAAGTTTGCTCGTTGTTAGAAACATACGCTTTATGGTGTACGCAACTTTTTCTTTGTCGCAACAAAGAACAAGAATGAAGAAGCAAGAAAAGGGCAAAACTTTGAATATAGATAGATAGAATATAGAATATAGATAAAATCTAAAATTCTATCACAAAAAGTTGCTATCTTTTTGCTAAAGTTTTCGTGAAAGCGAGACCACCAGGTATTTGAAGAAAAGACTTGAAAGCTTGAGACAAATGTTTCGAGTCATTGCGAAAAAGTGCGAATTCTGGAGCTCCCATGGGTGAAATAAGGCGTTCCCCAGAAGGTTTGTCATCATAATTCCCAAGTTCTTGAGACCAGTTCCCCCCGCCCCGCTTTTTCTTGTTTTATGGAAGTGTTCAGTTGAGGAGGTCCCAAGAGTCTCAAAGGAGGGGGAAAACCCTCCTCTAGACCCTTCTTACACTATTTATTATCCTCTCAAACATGTCATCTCTCGCAGAAAAAAAAGTGTGAATGAAGGGAGTAAACGGATGTGAATGGAAATGGGACTTTTGCTATGTAAATTCTCAGTGAATCTCACAAACTATGCTGAGATTGCGAGCTATCTGACTGCTGAGATAAGATTTACAGTTGATTTCTTTTCGATTAGTCAGAGTTTTTATGTAAATTTGTATTTCAGATTCATAATCACACTTGTGAGCTGATATTTTGAAAGTATTGTCCCATTTTTGCGTCACAATTTGCTTTCTATAGATCTTTATAGAACTATAGAGATCTATAGAGATCTATTGATTCTTCTTCATAATTCTCAGTCATTTTCTTTTTCATGCAATGGTCGTAATAGATTTTTAGAGTTAGAATATAGAGACATGTCAGGAATGGCAGGAATGGCAGGAATGTCAGGAATGGCAGGAGTGTCAGGAATGGCGGGAATGGCAGGAATGTCAGGAGGAATGGAATGTCAGGAGGAATGGCATATGATCTAATTTAGGGTTGCTTCCAAAAGTATAGAAAAATAACAGTAAAGACAACAATATTTTGTGATGCTATTTCAGTGGTCAATCCTAGTATACTAGAGCAAGCAAATCCCAATATCAACTGGTGTGTTGGGCTTTCAGAGATTTAGAAAGAAAACGTTGAAAAAAAAGGGTTAGGACTTTCTTGCCAACTTAACACAGGGTGTTCAATATTTATGGGGACCAGTAAACATTTCGAGTGCTCCCCCCCCATCTGTTCCCCAGGTGTCCCCCTAAGTGTCCCCCTAAGTGTCCCCCTATGAAGAAAATCGTCAAAAATCAACTAGTAACTTGACTAGATCAGACTAATCAACTAGATCAACTAGTACTCATTCAAGAGCTTGTAAAATGAGTTGTATATCTTCAATCGGGAAATTTTTAATGGACAAATGTAGCCAAGATTAAGGCCTTCAAGATCTTAAATAACACTTAACACATTAGCGTTGAACTTGAGAGCTAATCTACCAAAAAGAAGCCGCCGTAAATCCTGAACAGCCTGTAAATTTGCAACAGTTACATTAGTTAGCTTTTGAAGATTAGTAAAAGCTTTTTCATCATCGCATTTGCTGAACAAGCCACACACAAAAGAATAAAGAGGAATGAGAGAAAAAAGTTCAATTAAAATAACATTTGAATCTGAGAATGAGAAGCTAATAAATAATAAAGCTTTGTGCAATCAACAGCAATACTTTAGATCAATTTCATTTCAATTTTCAAACAGAAATCAATGTGTTTTCTCATGTCACTATCAAATTGTCATGTCACTATCAAACTGTGTCAAGAGAAATCTCTATCAATCACCCACTCGTCCTTTTTTTTGACGACTCTTTGATAGCTTTATAAAAAAAGCTAATTTAAAAAGCTAATTCAAAAAGTTAGTTTTTGAAAACTACAGGGCTTTCGAATAGCTTTTCGATTTTCTTTTCTAATTGTTGGGTTCAAGTGGTTATTTTTTTGGTTTCAAAATTGGTAACTTTCAAAAAAAGATAATTTATTAAATGAAAAAGCAGCCAACAAATAAATTAACTGTAAAAAAGCAAGAAATTATAAAAAATCAACAAAGAAAGATTGATAATTCTGTTTGCGAGAAAGATTATCGAGTTGATGAAAGAAAAGCATTTTCTCAGAGGGTTAATAACTTCAAATTCAATTGGAATTCAAAAACAATGTAGTAAAAGTACTAGAAGTTTCAGTTAATATTATGATTTTCCTCTTGACCGATGTTTTTTCTAAACATCTGTATTGTATTGGAGAACTACTGTAAGCTTGGAGAACCACTGTAAGCTTGGAGAACTACTGTAAGCTTGGAGAACCACTGTAAGCTTGGAGAACTACTGTAATCTGTATTGCATTGGAGAACTCATGTAGATCAGACTAATCAACTAGATCAACTAGTACTCATTCAAGGGCTTGTAAAATGAGTTGTATATCTTCAATCGGAAAACTTTTACTAGAAAAATGTAGCCAAGATTAAGGGCTTCAATATTTTATATAACACTTAACATTAGAATTGAACTTGGGAACTAATCTACTAAAAAGAAGTCGCCGTAAATACTGAACACCTTGTACATTTGATCAGCCCATTTTTCGAATCATTGACTGAGGCTTATTTCTCATAGAATGATATCAAAATTGAGCTAATTAAATAAAGCTGAGGGTTTACTGTAGTTTTCTAAAACCGATGCTTTCTAGGAAATCATTAGCAAAGAGAAATGGACTCTAGTTTGATTTCTGGCAAACACAATTCTTCACTTTTCTTTTATTTATAGATTTCTACGACAAAATAAGTAAAGATTTGTAGAAGTCAGAAAGAAAATTGAAAGAAAATGACAATTTTTAAGCTTAACAGTCAATTCACTTTACGATTTTTCACCAAATGAATCACCGGTAACAAGAACAGGTGAAAATTGCATCATAAGACTGAAAATAAAGGAGATCACGGGGTGATAGCTCATAAAAAGTTATCGAAGAGCAATGATACAATGCTAAATTGAATAATTTGATACAATTTCAATAAGCAACGATTGAATGAAAGATTTCTAATCATTTCTTTGTTTTCTTTGTCGGTGTCCTTGGTGAAAGGGGTACATCTTTTGGAGCAGGACTACCCGATCTTCTCCCGCCCATCACCGAAACGGATTTGATCGGCGTTCTCTGAAAGTTTATCGCAATTTAGACAAGATTTTAGCCAAGAGCCAAGAGCCAAGCCAAGGCCAATCCTAAGCCTTAGCCAAGATCTCTTTATCATCGAAAAAGTTTGTTTATATTGTTTAGAATGGAGGAAATGATTGGCGCTACTGGTTCTCGTGGCCCAACCAGCTCTAGGTACTTCGACAGGACTTCTCTGAAAGTTTATCGCAATTTAGCCAAGATTTTAGCCAAGAGCCATTTAGCCAAGATATCTTTATTATCTAAAAAGTTTCTTTATATTGTTTAGAATGAAGGAAATGATTGGCGCTTGCTTGTTCTCGTGGCCCGACCAGCTCTAGGTACTTCGACAAGAGATGACCGGCTAGGCGGGAAGGTATTTGCTTCAGAATACCGTTAAAAGTTGGAAAAATTGGTTTACTAAGTTTATTAGCTTAAATCAAAAGTCAAAATTTGTGTTTTTCTACATGATAGCATCATCAAGTAAGCCTGGATAGCATTTCAAGGCCAGCAATTAGACATGTGCATTTTCTGTTCGTTCAGATGTCCGGTCAGATTTGGTGTACAGCAGAAATTCACACAAAACTTCGCCAACATCATTTCCAAGATCGATAACAAAGAGGGAAGGCGGGGAGGGGTAAGTTTTTTGGCCAGCTTGCAGCTCACTTTTAAGCACCTTAAACTTGTCAGATCTGAAAGTTTTAAAAGGATTTAGATAGCTTAGAACGTCAGCTTTCAGAAACTATTTGTTTTATCAAAGTTATTAACAAAAAAACTATTTAAAATCGGGCTGCAAGTTGACCAAAAAAATTACCCCCCTCCCCCGTTATCCATAAAGAACCACGGCCGCGATTCTCACACCGCCTTTAAAGGGCTTAAGACTTAAGACGTGAATTTCCGTTGTACACCTAACAAAGAGTGGCCGAAAATGCACAATAATGAAGTGTTTTCTTCCAAATATAATAGTTTGGTCAATAAATATTTCGACTTTATCAACTTATTTCCTGTTTTAAACGTTAAATAGCAAAAACATTTAGTAAATATCATTTGTAAACTCTTTGTGATTCGCTTTTTGTGGTGATTTTAAGCTAGTTTTTGGCTAGAAGTCGTTTCGGTGAACAGTTTTGAAATTACTAAACTAAAACATTTCTTATTGTTATCAATTTCTGAATTTTCAATTCTCTTATGACTCGTTTTGTAGACGCTAACATGTTAAAAACCATTTTGGCCACCAAGTTAGAGCCAGAACTAGTAGAACTAGTAAAACACCAGAGACACTACCGTAAATACTGTAATAGTACCCCACCCGCATAATGACGGTGCGGAGCGTTGCGTAGTCTAGCTTTGAACGCGTTTTTCTTGACACTGGTTTATGCTACAATGCGCGCAAAGGTATCAAAAAATAGCCCTGAATTTCAGCTATTTTTTGATACCAAAGACGCTTTTTTTGATATCAAAGATAATGACGGTGCGGGGTGTTGCGTAGTCTAGCTTTGAACGCGTTTTTCTTGACACTGGTTTAAGCTACAATGCGCGCTTAGATATCAAAAAATAGCCCTGAATTTCAGCTATTTTTTGATACCAAAGACGCATTTTTTGAAAGTACGGGCGCTTTGAAAAAAATGAAATACTAAAAGACTTTTGCGACTACGCGACTGTACGAGGGTGGCGGGGTACTATTACAGTATTTACGGTAAGCACTAATCTAAACCTTAGATACACTAACTTCAGGATAAAGTTTTTGGCCAACAAGTTAGAGCCAGAACTAGCCAAACTAGTAAAACACCAGAACACACTAGTAGAACAAATGCAATTTTAGTGAAGGCATTCTTTTTATGATTGTGAGTGATTTTGTTAAATTAATCAATAATCAATCAATCAATAATATTTAAAATTTATTAGATTTAACTGAAAAACGTTTAGCATCAGATAAAGAAAAGGAAAAAAAAAAAAAAAAACACATTTTTACAAATAGATTTCGAAATGAAATGAAAATCACCGCTGAGATGACTGTGAATAAATTAATTAATTAAAAATAATTAAAAAAATCAAAGAACTGAAAGAAATCTCAAAGAAAACCCGTTATTTATAGAAATAGAAAAATAAATAATGATCATTTTGGGAAGTGGGACAAATGCTACCTTTTTTTTGCGCACCCGGACATTTGCGCACCTTTTTTTCCGCACTTAGCCCATTAGCGCACCTTTTTTCGCGTTTCAAAAAAAGCTCTAGAAAGCTAAAAAGCTAAAAAAGCTAATATTAACCAATTTCTATTCCAAAAGTTGTTTTTCTAGGTAATTTTAGGGCATAGAATCGAAATTTTGACATATTAGAGCTTGTGAAAACAAACGGACGGAGTTATAAAAAGAGAAAAATCGACAATTTTCTGTAATTTGTAATTTGTAATTTGATCTAGCCGTTTTGTCTTTCAAATTGGTTCCACACGCTCTGATATATCAAAATTTCGATTCTACGCCTTAAAATTACCTAGAAAAACAACATTTGGAATAGAAATTGGTTAATATTAGCTTTTTTAGCTTTTTAGCTTTCTAGAGCTTTTTTTGAAACGCGAAAAAAGGTGCGCTAATGGGCTAAGTGCGGAAAAAAAGGTGCGCAAATGTCCGGGTGCGCAAAAAAAAAGGTCGCATTTGTCCCACTCCCATCATTTTGAGCGAAAATTCTCTATAAGCTGGAAGCAAATGGTTTTGGCAATATTTTTCTTAAAATTTTCAAACCCTAAAAGTTAAAAGAAAATTGGCACATAGAAGTCATGATTAGAAAGATTTGAATTTGATATTGAAAGGTTTTTCTTTTTGAGTAAAACATTTTGGAGCAATAAAAGTTAGTGATTTGTGAATGAATAGGCAAATGTTTGAGGGGAAAAGAAAAGCAAGAGGCTTTTCGGGGAAATGGAGTCAAAAGAACTCGAGCTTGCACTGTGTAAGGAAGAAGCGAGAGAGTTGCCAATACAACAAAGATTAACACACTCATTCAACTTGTCATTTGTAACCAACAAAGCTTCGAAATCAAAACCAGGAGGTCATATGTGAAGGTCAAGAGCCAGACCAGAACCAGGGGCAGGCCTGGGTTTGGTCAAAACTAGAGGAATATGATCAGGTACAGCTCAAACCTTAAACCTAATCAGCTACCAGATTAAAGCTTAAGCAGGTCTAGATAAGGCTTTGTTCAAATCAGGGCCAGGCCAAAACCAGGATCAGGCCAGAACCAGGATCAGGCCAGAACCAGAGTCAGACCAGAACCAGAGTCAGTCCAGAACCAGAGTCAGTCCAGAACCAGAGTCAGATCAGAACCAGGATCAGGCCAGAACCAGGGACCTTGAATTATTATGGCCAGAACCATAATAATTCAAGCACAGCTCAGAATTTGCCAATGACCGATTCATAACCAAACTAAAGTTGCATGTAGTCTATGGATTTCTTTGAAACATTTTTGCATTTTATTTTGTTATCACTACCTCTAGACTCAAATTGAAAAAGAATAGTTCATTAATTTCCTGATTAAAAAGAATAGATCATAGATATATTATTGATTAGCGAGTACCGCATGGGCGGGCATTCCTTGTTGTCGATAATCGGCAACGAGTTGATTGAAATGACGATCGAGAAGTTGACGAGCTGCATGATCTTGTGGAGGCATTTGTAGAGATAACGCGAGAGCTTGAGCATCAAATGTGTCATCCAGCGAGATTAGAGCGCCGTGAACACCGGAATCCTAAAGTGTTTTTGGGTTAAGCGACCTTTTTAACTTGACAAGTTACAAGCTTTTTAACCTAAACAAGTTACAAGCTTTCAAACATTCAAAGCCTGAGCAACTAGGCGATTGGAATTGCTTTCCTTTGGTTTTTGTTTGAATTCACCTTGAGATTTCCAGCGTATGCACCAAGGCCGATTTCCTCGACCCATCGCGCGACTCGATCATTTGACCAGACAAGTAGATCTGAAATATCACAATGGATTGAGTTCTGCTTGGTTGGCGCCTTTGAACAGCTTTTGAAGCCTTTGAATTGAACATGAACTTAGAGCCTAACCAGAGGCTAGATAACTGACTATTAGAATTGGTGATACCTCTATTAACATTCTCCGTCGCCCTTCTCCTCTCCATCAATGTCTTCTTATCATAGTTGAGCTTTTTCAAGCACATAATCCCGTATTGGAGAGAAGCCTTGTGAAAAGAATCATGCATTTTGAGATGAGTTCTCAAATCTCTTTTTGTGAGATGTTCTAACATTCGAGCGTCCAGTAAACACTCCATGAAGGCTGATCTAAAAGAATTATTTTAGTTTTGGCTATGATAATGAATCAATTTCAAGTAACAATACCTATAATGAGCTAATCCCAAACTCGGTAGCCAATCGTTTCCAACCCATTCATGATTCATATCACCGAATGCCAGCGATGTTCGAGCGGATCTTGGAGCTGACGGAGAAGTCAATGAGACCATTTCCTAGAGTTAAGCTTATTGAAAAGTTGGTGAAAGTAAAAGTAAAGCCACTCATTCACTCACCTGGATCGCCAATCTCAACTTCAATCGATGTAATGGATTGGAGATGCCGATCTCTCGTTGAATTTCTTGATCGGATAAAGCGCTCATGATCGCGCCAGATTTCACGTTGGCTCGACAAGCAGCAACGTACCTAAAGATTGGTAATAAATGTTCATGTTTTGATTCTTATGCCTTCTAATTCGTATGCCTTCTAATTCTTATGCCTTCTAAATCAAACAAAACAGATCAAAAGCTAAGATTGAACTCAATGATAAGCGCTTGATTTGTAGAAAACTAACCATGGTGGCATTGCCACCCATAACTCGAGCCAGGCGACAACCGTTGGACCGTTCCACAAAGCGAATGGCGTTCTGGCTTTCATTGCCTAAATATAACAAATTTTAAATCTCCTTTTACATTTAGGAATAAAAAACTAGTTATTCAATAAAACAAGCTATTTAATAAAACAAGTTATTCAATAAATTTCTACCTCTTCCAACAATTCATGCTTCTTTTTATTCCGTCGATCCAAATCTCCATTCGATCTCCCGGCCAGCTCAGCTGATGACACCTCCGAGTCAGAGAAAGCACCCGTTTCTCTACTAAAAACTTTTTATACCAAACTACATTGTACATAAAAATTTTACTCATCGTTTTCCACTCACCCATATGTTGTACTTTGGGTTTTGCCCTTTTTGTTGCCAAAGAATCGACCGAGGGTTTTCAAGCCAGAAGAACTTGACGAGCGCTTTTTCTTCGATAACCCTTCGGTGCTCGAAGCCACCGAAGAAGCGGGAGACATACGCTCAATTGGTTCATCAAAACGATTCTAGAAAAAAAGGACAATTACCGTATTTTCCCGAAGCTTTGCCTAAATTGGTTGAAATTGGGTCGGAGACGATGAGAGCTGACGATGAGATCTTGTGGGGGATTAGAGTGTTGAGCTTCGGCAAAAGCTTGGAAACCGTAAAATAGTCATTAACTCGGCTCGGCCGGGTGCACTACTATTAGGAAAAATGTGCTTTTTTGCCTTAAGTTACTTAGATGAATGAAAAGTTGGCTTGGCTAAGGCTACAGAAAAAAAACAAAAAAACGTAGACTAGAGAAAGCTATGTAAATGTAAATTTGTCTTTGTATGTATAAAATGATATTCGGCCGAGACGCACTACTTGGACGGCTATTTTCTCACAGGAACCAGGTGACCGTGTGGCCTAACGGATAAGGCGTCGGACTTCGGATCCGAAGATTGCAGGTTCGAATCCTGTCACGGTCGAAATGTTTTGCAAATTATTTGAAACTTTTGTCTTTTACAAAGCCGCTATTGTTATTAGGATTTAAATTGGATTCAGAACATTTAGATTTAGCATTGCTTTTAAACTATCAGCTTACCTGCATATGATTTGGTGGGATTCCGTGCAATCTCATCTCGTCTCTCCTCCTCATTCCGTATCTTCCATCATCTAGCATCGAGTCATCCATCGGTTGATGTCGATAATAATCCATCTCATCTCTCATTGCAGATGTTGAAGCATTAGCGGGTAACTGAAACAACCCGATTATATAGCTATTAGACGGCATTTACCGTATTGTACTTATGAATGAGATCATGGTGTTGTGGACTCCCGCGAGGACTGTTCCTGCCCATTTGCTCGTCGTAATAGTATCCGCCTCTTGCCTCAAGTTGCATCTCGGCTCGCTCAGCCTCGTTTTTCTCTTGTTGAATCATTCTAAATACCGTATTTCTAGATTCTAGACGCCAAGATGTCAACAAACCGAATCTCGGAGTTGATAGCATCAAGTCGCTCTTGAAGCATCGAAGCAAGAACATGGGATTCAGTAGGCCCACCCTGAAGATTAAAGTTTAAAGATGAAAACGGATGAGTTACACAGCATTTTGAAATGTTTATAACTAAGCAGTCACATTAGTAAATGACTTTTCAAACAAAGATAAACTTACCGGATGAGTTTGAATGAAATCCACGGGCGGTCCTCCCATTGGAGTGGGCAAACCCGAGCGATGACCGAGCTCGACCAACGATGGAGATGAGGAGAAAGCTTGTTGAACGTTGGCCAACACGTGCGCTTGCTGTAGCCGATCCCATTCTTGCTCATTCAGCGTTTGGATTTTGTTTGGATCATCCTGGAAACGGATTTGTTTACTGATTGCTCAATTGCTTGCTAAAGTAGCCCAGCTTGTCACCGCCGTTCACCAGATACCAGAGAAGTTATAGAATCGACTAAGCTGATCAAAATGCCGCAAAAATTAGCTGCCCATACTCATAGATATTTTGCATAGAAGTTTTGAACATCTCGCTTAAAAGGTTTTTCTTGGAAGACGTAAATTTGAGCTGGTGGCCTAGCGGATCAGGTGCTTATAGACAAAGCGAGCTCTGCATTTCTTGTTCGACTCCTAGCAGCGCTGCATTTCTTGTTCGACTCCTAGCAGCGCTGCATTTCTTGTTCGACTCCTAGCAGCGCTGCATTTCTTGTTCGACTCCCAGCAGCGCTGCATTTCTTGTTCGACTCCCAGCAGCGCTGCATTTCTTGTTCGACTCCTAGCAGCGCTGCATTTCTTGTTCGACTCCTAGCACCGCTGCATTTCTTGTTCGACTTCCAGCAGCGCTGCATTTCTTGCTCGTTCGAGTCCTCGCCTCGCAATTCCTTTGTTTTGTTTGATTTTAACGAAACTACTAAAATATATTTTGTTTCTTTTCATTTCGCCTTCTATATTTCAATAAATTAACCAATAATTCAAAGAAAATGAACCTACTCAAATTCCAATTTGTAACATAAAAAATCGAAAATCAGATTTGGGGTTTTCTTTACCTAGTTTACCTGCTCAAATTTCTATTTGTTAAAAAAATATTCTTAAGGACAGATTTTAATACTACAAGAGCTAGAGGAAAATTTTAAAAACCTTATTTTGATAATCAAAAAGTTCGATTTCAATTTCAAATTCAAAAAGTTCAAAACGCACCAAATTTCAGAATCCACAACTGTTAACTGAAAGAAAATCAGAAAAGAAAATTATTATAGTCTGATTTGAGAGGCGGGGACTCGAACCCGAGCAAGAAATGTAGAGCTCGCTTTGTCTATAAGCACCTGATCTGCTAGGCCACCAGCTCCTATTGACGCCGCGCGAGAAAAGCTTTATTATAAGCGAGATCTTGAAAACTTTTATGCCAAATATCTGAGTATGGGCAGCTAATTTTTTTGATCAGCTTAGTCGATTCTATAACTTCTCTAGTGTCTGGCGATTGGCGGTGGCAAGCTGGGGTACTTCCCTTGTCAGCTCAACCAAAGGAAATTTCCAATTTCAGCACTCATCCTTACCTGTAAAGCAGTCGTTCTTCCCTTCTGCTGCCTCCTTGGCACAATATTTGCATAGGGTGGTGGTTGGGGTGGTTGTTGATAAGCCTGGTATTGTTGCTGTTGAACGGGTGATTGATTATTGACTCCATTCACGACCGGTGGTGGAAGGACCGGCTAAAGAAAGGTGAATTTGGAAAATTCGAGTTTTAAACAAACCCCCGGCTGAATGTTTCCAATTGAGTGCATCCGGGAGTGGAATTGAGCTGTTCGGGCGTTGTACAATTGAGTCCGTAGTTCATCGATCTCTTGTCGTAACGCCTCACAATCTCGATTCATTCGCTCTTTCGTTCTCTCGGCCTAAATTTTGGACTCCTTGAATTCTAAATTTTCCACTTATAGATGATCTAAACCTAAAAGTTAACTAAAACTAAAAATAAAACATCTAAAACTCGATCTACTGCCGAGGCAGCAGCTCTCGAGGAGCCTAACCAGGGCATAGGTTCCCCGAGAAGGCAGCAGATCTTGGTCAGGAGTTGAGGTCAGGGTGATTCCAAGAAAGCTCAGGGTGACCCCCCTGCGCTGCCGGGAAGTGCTTCAGAGGATTGAGAGGCTTGTGGGCTAGGAGCTAGAGCCGACAATGGCTTATTAAAGATCGTAGCCGACACATTTTCCTATTAAAGATCGTAGCTGGGGGTGACTTTTTTCGGAACTTTCACTTTTTCTGGGATAGCTTCTCATGCTGATCACGAATTTCCCGTTTTCAACCTAATTTTAAATGAAATATCGACTTTTTGACACTAAAAATAACTCAAAATAAGCGCTTTTTGCATTTAAATGCAAATATTTCATGCCTTTTTTGGGATTTTTTATTTCATGGCCTTAAAGAGGATTGTTGGGTTGGGCCAATTGATTAAGTCCCGTCAATTAACTTCAAGATAAAAGTTTAACCAAGTTTAAATGAAAAATACCAAAAATACCAAAAAAAAAGCCTAAATTTTGGATTGATTGGATTCGAAACTTTCCACTTATACCGTAAACATTTTAAGAAAAGCTCCCTATAGGAGAGTCGCGTAGTCAAAGTTTTCCAGAAAGTACTCTCAAATAAACGCTCATATCTTAACAACAATACGTTTCTTTCTGTGCGTTTTGATATCGAATTAAAGTAGAGAAAATGGATCATTTTTTGACATATAACACGTATTTTTAGCATTAACCAGCGCTTAGAAAAAAAATGATTGAAAAGTGGCAAAAAGCCGAGTTTTCACCATTTTTCAGTCATCTTTTTCTAGGCGCTGGTTAACGCTAAAAATACGTGTTATATCTCAAAAAATCACCCATTTTCTCTACTTTAATTTGATACCCAAATGTGCAGAAAGAAATGTCTGGGCGCCAAGATATGAGCGGGGCTTTGTGTGTAAACTTAGACTATGCGATGCATGACTGAAAAGTAACTGGCTCAACGCTAGTCTCTCTGAAAACAGTTCACATTGTAGGCCAGATTTTGCAGCTATGGTTTAGCCGCAATTTGCGTATTGTGGTTTCAGCTTCATTCTATTGTTTAGACCAATCCCAGCTCACCAACCTGATCGAATAGCTTCTTGGTGTGCTCTAACTCTTGTGTTAAACGATTCTTCTCATCCAGCGCTTGCATTCGTTCTTTCAAATGAAGTTGCAGGCGATCATTTGATTCAGAGAGAAGCTAAAAGAAAAGATATCATTTCAAAGGATTTTTGAATAAAAAAAACAGTTTTTTAAACGATTCTAAAGTATTAGGTGTGTGAAAAAGTAATCCACGTTTTTTATTTTTATCTGATGACCAAATAAGACGCTGTCTTCTTGAAAACCCTCGTTCAACCTTTTCAGAAATAGGCCTTACATTAAATTGTGCTGGGTCAACCGTAAGGAAACGCTTGAATGCCATGAATTTTATCAAAAAGTTGGACAAATGGATACCGCATGAACGATAGCGCGCGACCACATGTCTCTTTACAGACTCGACAAAAAATCCAGAGTGTTGGATGGGAGGTTTTACCACATCCACCTTATAGTCCAGACCTTTCTCCATCTGATTATTATTTATTTTTGTCTCTGCCTAACTTTTTTGGCCAATAAATGGTTCAATTCCGAAGAAGATGTCAAAACCGAGGTCTTCTCTTCTTTTCTCATCTTTTCTTCGCCTCTAAGGACCAAGATTTTTATTATCGTGGAATGTCTTTACTTGTAGAACGTTGGCAAAAGGTTCTTCTTTCGAATTGTGATTACTTCGTTGAATAAAAATTATTTTAACGAAACTTATGGTCTTTTATATTTAAACGTTAAAAACGTGGATTACTTTTTCACACACCTAATAGCTATGTAAGAGATTGGTCAAATCGGTCAAATCCGATCAACCAACCACGATCAACAAACCGGATCGACTACCAATATCTAATTCTAGTTACAATTTTAATCTTACAATTGCTTATTATCTACCTTATCAACAGTGGATGACAATCGTTGATTGTGTTCTTCATTCATTCTCTCTCTTTGCACAGCTCTCTCCAATTCAGCGTTCTTCTCGTCGATTTGACGCTCCAAATGAGAAACTCTTTCTTCAGCAGAGAGTTGCTTCTGAAAAAAATAGCATTAGCAAAAATAGCATTAGCAAAAATAGCATTAGCAAAAACAGCACTAATAAACTTATAAAAAATGATTAATGATTTCTATAATCTGCTAACCTTTTCAGCTGCAGTCAAAGCTTGCATCCTTTGTTGCAATTCGGCTTCAACTGACGGCAAGCTTTCAGCTTTTTGAAGTGATTGAGCCAATTGCTTCTCGGCGAGCTCGAGTCTTTCTTGTAAAGAATGCACTTTTTCCTCATTTAGCCGCACAGCAGCATCTTTGTTGGCCAACTGAAATGGATTAAAGTTTATACGGTAAATACTGCAATAGTACCCCACCCCCCTCGTACAGTCGCGTAGTCGCAAAAGTTTTTTAGTATTTCATTTTTTTCAAAGCGCCCGTACTTTCAAAAAATGCGTCTTTGGTATCAAAAAATAGCCCTGAATTTCAGCTATTTTTTGATACCTAAGAGCGCATGGTAGCATAGACCAGTGTCGAGAAAAACTCGTTCAAAGCTAGACTACGCAACGCTCCGCACCGTCATTATGGGGGTGGGGTACTATTACAGTATTTACGGTAATTACATTTCAATAAAAGAAGATTTAGGAGAAGATCGCTTTCTAAGCTTGGGATAACTGGGAAATGAAGTTCTTCATCAATTTCTCCAACTTACTTGATGCTCCAACTTGTCATTGAGATCTCGTATGCAAGTGGCCTCTCGTTGAGCAGAGAGATATCTTTGTTCAAGCGTTTGTATTCGAGCCTCTTGCTCGTTTCGTTGAGCTTCCAACTGGAATTTATTATATGAAAGTTTCAATTCTAATCTCGAACCTCTTGAAGTTGATTCGACAATCTTGAGCTCATTTCAGATGATGTGTGAATATCCTTTTGGGAATTCGAGAGTTGGGCTTCAAGCGCGGAATTTCTAAAAGAGTTGAAAAAAGTATTAGAGTTGAAAACTGGTCTAATACTCTGTAATAAAGTAAAGAAATTAATTAAATAATTTGGAATCTAGGGGGAATTGTACCCTCGAAGTATATTATAAGTAAAAATATCGAAATTTTCATAATCCGGTGTTAGTTTTTTAAAAATAGCGTGTTTTTCGAGTCAAACTGTGCGTTTACAAGTAGAAGTAGAAGTAGAAGAAGTAGAAGAAGTAGAAGAAGTAGAAGAAGTAGAAGAAGTAGAAGAACTAGAAGAAGTAGAAGAACTAGAAGAAGTAGAAGAACTAGAAGAACTAGAAGAAATAGAAGAACTAGAAGAACTAGAAGAAATAGAAGAACTAGAAGAACTAGAAGAAGTAGAAGAACTAGAAGAAGTAGAAGAACTAGAAGAAGTAGAAGAACTAGAAGAAGTAGAAGAACTAGAAGAAATAGAAGAACTAGAAGAACTAGAAGAAGAAGAAGAAAAAGACGAGGAGGAATTGAATCTTCGACTCAACCTCGACCTTCTGCTTATCGGGAAATGCTCTACCATTGAGCTATTGACGCCTTCTTTCCCCAAGAAGAAACAAGAAGAAAGAAGAAAGAGAGGAAGAAGAAAGAGAGGGAAATAAGTCACTTTACACTCTTTAAAACAAACTTATACCTAAAAATATCAGGTTACAGTGTTCAAAACTTAAACTGATACCAAGCTGTTGATTCCAATTCCAATCCAATTCAACTCCAATTCAGGAGTTGAATTGGATTGATGAAAAAAATCAGGATATTGTAAGTAAAAGAAAATTTACAAACCTTGAATTCAATTCATTCACTTGTTTCAAAGCATTCGCCAACTCCATCTTCAGCTTTTCCAATGTCTCCGTGAGTTCAACGATTCTCGCCGCTGTCTCCCCATTCATCGCCTCACTGGCTTTGATTCCCTGCGCACGGGCTTGTGACTGTAATTGTTGGACTTGAATTTGAAGCAACAAGTACTCAAAAACGCTTTGCTTTGTTTTCTCACCTGTGCTTCAGCCAATTCGGCTTGTGTTCTCGCAAAATGCGATCGCAACGTCGTGTTCTCATCGCTTTTCGCGCTCAACTCCTCTTCCAAACAGGCCACTCGTTCCATCGCAACTTTTAAACGGTCTCGAACCTGGGAAATTTCACGTTTAACTTTTAGATTTTATATTATTTGATTGCTAAATTGTTTTACTTGTTTTTTTGAATTGATTTTAATCGTTAAGAGCTTTTTGTCTGCGAAATAAACTAGTAACTTGAGTTTTTATTGCAAAAAAACCAAACTATTATTCTAAGCGTAGAGAAATTGATTGAAAGCTTGACTATTCTAGCTTGACTAGCTTGACTAATTGTAAACAATAGATTCCTATTTGCCTACTATAAATACTGTAATAGTATCCCATCTCCCTTGTAGTGGAAAAAGTTTTTATTTAAATTTTTCAAAGTACTCCTTCTTCCAAAAAATCGTTTCAAAATATCAATTCTTTGTTATCAAAAAATACCCCTAAATCTCAACTATCTTTTGATACCTTTGCGCGTCTTATAGCTTAAGCCAGTATCGAGAAAAACTCGTTCAAAGCTAGACGACGCAAGACTCCGCACGATTATTATGAGGGTCGGGGACTATTACAGGATTTACGGTCGAAAACCCCATTCTCACCTTCCATATTTGAACTATTAATACCAAAAATACCAAGAAAATAGGTTCCATTTCGTTTTTCTTTCAATATAGCCAAAAAAACCCGTCAAACAAACCTTTTCATCCAGCGCTTTGTGGTGTTCAAATAGACTTTTCAGCGCTTTCAACACTTCAACCTCCGAAGAGACACCGGCCGGCGATTGGGTGTGCCTTTTGGTGACCGTTTGCCGAAGGGATCTAATCATTTGGCGTAAATGAGCCAACGCTTTTAAGTTTTAATTTACCGTTCATGTCTTGAAACGAGGCACTCAAGGTGTTCTAGCAAAAGTCTCGTGTTATTTCGCTCGGCTTTCAACTCGACGATTTCCTCGTCTTTTTCGAGCAGTTGCTCTCTCGTTTGCACAAGTTCTCGAGTCATTTGTTGGAGTTCCTAAAAGTTTTAATCATAATTAATGATAATCTTCAACTAGCACAAAGTCTGATCACTGTTCTATCAGTTTTATATAAACAAATCCACTTTAGCTGACTCTCTTTCTTACAAAATTTCTAGTTTTACACTTCAGGACATCAAAAATCTCTTTTTAACAAAAATTTCTAGCTTTTCTAGGCTTTTAAATGATATAAAATAGAATTTGATTGGACCAGACAATCCTAAGAGAATCAAGAGCAAAAAATTCCCAAAAGTTTGAGCATACTGACATCTAAAAGAGCCAAAGAAAGCGAACGAGTGGTAGCATATATACCGAAGCGGTTTCTCAGACGACGAGCGATTACGCGGCCGCACAAAGAACCACATTTGCATAGAGACTTCGAATTTGCATAGCTGCGCGGCTTGGCGACTCGTTGATCCGAGGATCGAGGGTTCGACTCCCAGCAGCGATCTTTTGAACTTTTTTCTCCCAAAAAGATCTAAGTTTACGCCACCTAGGGTTATTTTACCTCTGCTGATCCCGGAAAACATGTTTTTAGCCTAGGGTTTTAACTGGAAAATTGACACTTTTTTTGGTCTGACTGAGCTCATTTAAATGCTTATAAAAATTTTAAAAAGGAACGAATCAACAAATGGCTTTCGCTACTGTGTTCCCATTGAATACAGCTTTCGAAGAAGACCAAACTCGTTAAGATTGGTTCAGTTTGAGACTATCTCCCAGCAAATCCGCCATTAGTTATTAGCCAGGCTAATAGTAGCTCTAAAAAAAAAGTTATGAATCTTCAAAGCGCAGTTACTAATTCAGAAAGCGCAAAAGGAGCCAGATAAGAGCCCGAAAAGAGCCCGGAAAGAGCTAGAGCCAAAAACTCTACAATTTCGAACCGTGCTCAAAAGTTTCCGGCTTGAAAAAGGCGATTTCGGAGACTTCACTGACAAATCCGAGTTTCCATTGGGAAATCTCGATCCGAAACAAAAATTTGGGGATAAAGGCGGTGATAATAGGCATGGACGTTGTAGACTCATCGAATATATTAGAGGAAATAATTTAAAACTTATCAATTCTTTGGCCCACCACTTGGAGAGAACAAAGTTTTTGCTTTCCCCATCTCTTTTTTCACTTAGAAAGCACCCAATTCAGTTAGACACAATTACGCGTTTTTCCCAGCGGTACTTTTTCCCAGAGTTCTCAACAACTTTAAAGTGAAAAAACCTTTCTTTTAAGCTCTTTTCGTCTTTGACTACTCTTGAAATAAAGAACTTTTGGGATTTACTTGGACAACTGGATATTATTCGATAATATTTATACAACAATACATTCTACAATACTCAAATTGCTATTGTACTTAGATCTAAAGCTAAAGCTAAAGCTAAAGCTAAGGCTAAAGCCAAAGCTAAAGCCAAAGCTAAAGCCAAAGCTAAAGCCAAAGCTAAAGCCAAAGCTAAAGCCAAGGCTAAAGCTAAGGCTAAAGCTTATCAAACTCTTGTTTTTACTATTAGAAATTAACTTTGAGTCAAAAATAACAGCTTCTAGTGTACTTTTCTCGAAACAACAGCTTTCTGAGTGCAGAAACGAGCCACCTTGCACCAGAAACAAGCCATCTTTCAGCACAAAAGTACAAAAATGTTAATTTACTTTTGGAAACTCACCGATGGCAAGTGTTGGGTGTGAACCTCGAATTGTCGCCTCAACGAGTCTCGTTCTCTTTCAACCTCTCGTGTTCGAGCCTGAACTTGGCAATGTAGCAATTGAATATGTTATCCCCAGAAGATTACTATCTCTTTACCATCACTTAGACTACAGTACTCCAGCAGCTATCTATGTGTCTTAGACTACAGTAATTCAGTTATCTAGTAGTTCGGGGGGAAGCATTTTGTAAACATCGATTTTTCAAACTTTTTACTTATTTTAAAAGCTTTTCCTAGCGTAATCAAATACGCTGAATCCATTAGAACTATTTTCAAACTATTCTGAATAAGTTTTATGCTAATTTAAGAAGCTTTTCAGAGCCTATAAGAGCCTATTTCACTGTGTTCAAGGTGCCGGACTCAATTAAGAAACTGAAACAGTTAGAAAAAGACTATTAAACGGAAAGAAACAGTTAAAACAGTAAGGAACCGTTAGAAACCGTTAAAAACAGTAAGAAACAGTTAGAAACCGTTAGAAAACGACTATTAAAGCTTAAATAGATTCGAAATTAAGATTCTAGAGCACAAAAATCCCAGGAGTAAAAGAGCTAAATAATGAAAGGGCTTTGAATTTGATTCTGATTGAAAACTCTAACTGAAGAGTAAGAAAATTGGTAACAATGACTAACTATTGGGTTTTTTAGTGATACCGTATTTCCTCTAATAAGCGCCGCCCCCCCCCCCCCTCGACCAGCTTTAGACGCCTAATTCTCAGTCCTGTTTTGAGATATCTTTATGTTTAATATACCAAAAAATAGAAGACATTAAGGGCTATCTTTTGGTATATTAAACATAAAAATATCTCAAAATGGGACTGAGAATGAGGCGTCTAAAGTTCCCTCGGCTAAAGTCCCCTCGATCAACTTTAGACGCCTCATTCTCAGTTCCATTTTATTTCTATATTCTATATTTCTATGTTTAATATACCAAAAGATAGCCCTAATGTCCTCTATTTTTTGGTGTATTAAACATAGAAATATCTTAAAATGAGACTGAGAATGAAGCGTCTAAAGTTGATCGAGGGGACTTTAGACGGAGGGAACTTTAGACGCCTCATTCTCAGTCCCATTTTAAGATATTTTCATGTTTAATACACCAAAAAATAGAAGACATTAAGGGCTAGCTTTTGGTATATTAAACATAGAAATATCATAAAATAGGACTGAGAATGAGACGTCTAAAGTTGGAGGGGAAAGAGGAAATAGAGGAAATACAGTAAGTTAGATTCTTTACCTGCATCTCGTCGATCTGTCCTTTGTACTGCTCAAGTTGTTCTTGTAGTTTGTCCCGATCTTGTAACATGTTCACCATCAACTAAAAGAATTTATTGAAAAATCATTTAAATACAGTTACGGGTTGAATCAAGTTCCCATTATTATCCCTTTCCGGTTGATTTGTTTGCGTGATTTGATCTTTCGGATGAGGGGAATCTGTTCGGACACGCGCGGGATTTTTAGTGGTGTAGAAAGGGTGATTTGTTGAGAGAAATGGATTGAAAGCTGATAGCTTTTGAGTGACTTTTGTTGGGGACTTTTCAATTTTCGGGGATTTTTTTGGGGAATCTTTGAGCGCGAGTGCGGCTCTTCGTTTGGGTCCATGTGGCTTATTGCAGGCACACGCGAGGAACATTTGAAGATAAAATTGTAGAAAATATAGCTATAATATAGCTAACATCAAAGCAAATCAATACCAGGATACAAATTTAATATCTAGTGAAGTAGAAGAAGCCGAGAGCTTTAATTGCTCCTAACTTGTCACAGATTTGCCCCAATTCGAAGCCTTTTTCAATCCAAATATCAGGTACAATTCCAGAATAGAATAGATAAATTAAAGAATATATTCAATATGATAAGAAAGAATATATAGAACAATATGATAGGAGTTTTTAAGATAAGAAAAGCTTTAATGAGCTTGGCTTGGCTTGGCTTGGCTTGGCTTGGCTTGGCTTGGCTTGGCTTGGCTTGGCTTGGCTTGGCTAACCTTGGCTTGGTTTGGCTAACCTTGGCTTGGTTTGGCTAACCTTGGCTTGGTTTGGCTAACCTTGGCTTGGTTTGGCTAACCTTGGCTAACCTTGGCTTGGCTTGGCTAACCTTGGCTTGGCTTGGCTAACCTTGGCTTGGTTTGGCTAACCTTGGCTTGGCTTGGCTAACCTTGGCTAATCGCTTGGCTAATCAAATTTTTTCCTTTTTTAGATCAAATAGATCAGGAAATAGTCTAAGAATAGAATTTTTAGTGAAAGGTTTTTAGCTGAATATTTAAAAATTCTATCAAATAGCTTTTTTGGGGGGGAAACCCGACAAAAATGGGGCTTAACGTCGACGTTTTCTCAAATCGAGCGTGGAAGAAAATGCACTAAATGGGGAAACCTAATTGGACACACTGAAATGGACAGGAAAGCGAAAAAAAGAGATAGAGAAAGATTAAAGAAAACGGGGGGAAAAAGAGGAGACATTCGGAATCCGATATCAACCTTTAACCCTAAGCTGAACAAATTAAGGATGGAGGGGGTTTAGAAATGCAGTTATCGCGGGGAAGACTAGGGTTTTTAGGGTAACATAATTCGAATATCCCTTTCTCCTTACAAGATCACTTTCTTCGGAATGGTCAAGCTATATTCTGCTATGATTTACAGTCGACAGTTACAGTCGACAGTTACCGTCGACAGTTACCGTCGACCGTTACCGTGGACCGTTACAGTCAACTCTCGGAAAATTTCGATTTAACGATTCTGAAACGTGCCTCAAATCTCCTGTGTAGCCGCCCTGAATAGCCAACGATTGCGTTTGGCTATGCAGCTAAGCAGAAACCAAAAGCCTGTTTTCGTAGCATCGTTTTTGTTCAAAATCGTTGTATCGAGAGTCGTTGTATCAAGAGTCGTTAAATTGAAAGTCGACTGTAGATTAGCACTGTTTAACTCCCTCTGGAGTAGGGGAGATCAAGTGCGTCGTGGTATAAGTGGTGAGCACATTTGCCCGGTAAGTGAAAGGTCGCGGTTTCGAATCCCGGCGGCGCACGAGCTTTTTGAGGTGCCCTAGTTTCAACTTACTAACAAGGGGAATGATCCAAACTTGGGTTGACGTTTCAGAATAAACTCGAAATGCCCATATCTACCTCTTCAATGTTTGCATTGTGATGTTCATCGGAGTTGTGTGGCATTTCCACCGAGTCTTCACTAATCGTCGGCATCACATCGCACATCATTGTGGAAATATCTGGAAATATCGAATGTCTAGATATGTCGGATGTCTGTAAATCAATATAGAATTCTTCTTTCAGTTATAAACATGCTTATAAACATTATTTATAAGCATAAACATGAAAAACTTATTTCTAAGCAAAAAAAAATTTGTTTTTCTTAATTGTATCTGATTGTTTCTTGTTTAAAAATGAAACAAAACACTTTTTACGTTTAGTGAAGTGTAAAAATAGTTCAAAATAAAGCATAGAATGAGCTATTATTGATTGAAACTCTTTTTCTTAATCTTTTTTCATCTTTTCTTCTTTCACTAACCATTTTGCCAACTCATCTTCATTCACCGCCAATCGGGCTTTTATTGAAATGGCTATCAGAGCAAATATATCATTCCTAACAAGTAAAAACAACTACCGAGCTTTTCCTGAAATTAAAAATTTTGTAAAAAGAAAAAAATTCGGAAATGAAAACCGAAAAAGTGTTGGAAATTTGATAGGGTGATAGAAAAAAAAACAGGGGAAAGGATGGAAAAGGTATTGAATGGAAAAGGTATTGAATAGAAAAAAGGATGAGGTGAAAAGAGAGTAATGAATTCCGTACACGGCAATCGACTGAAAAAAAAGCCGATAAAAAAGGCATTTTTGGAAATCTTATGGAAAGACACATTTAAATATAAGGTTTTTGAAGGATGGGTTGGTTTGAAGGTTTTGAAAAGAGGTACTGTAAAAACTGTAAAAGTACTGTAACTGTACTGTAAAATTAAAAAAACTTCTTTAAAATAAACATATATAAAGGGTAAAAATAGTCGAATTTTTAAAATTTGAACTTTATTTTGCTCTATTTTGACGGATTTTATTATAAAAACACGTCTATTAATGTGAAAAGAACTCTCCAGTAAAGAACTCTCTAGTAAAGAACTTTCTAGTAAAGAACTCTCTAGTAAAGAACTCTCTAGTAAAGAACTTTCTAGTAAAGAACTTTCTAGTAAAGAACTTTCTAGTAAAGAACTTTCTAGTAAAGAACTTTCTAGTAAAGAACTATCTAGTAAAGAACTCTCTAGTAAAGAACTTTCTAGTAAAGAACTTTCTAGTAAAGAACTTTCTAGTAAAGAACTCTCCAGTAAAGAACTTTCCAGTAAAGAACTCTCCAGTAAAAAACTTTCCAACTATGCTCATAAATATTTTCAAATTAAACAAATTCAGTAAGTATTTCATTCTTTGAAAAGATTTCAGTTCTCTGTGTTCTGATTTTTAAAGACGGAAGGACGGAGGCATTTGAGAACAGGTGTCAAACTGTGTCTGAATGTAGAATATACCGTATTTTCTCTAATAGTAGTGCACCTTGAGCGTTGCTTAAATTGCTCGAAATCTCGAAAACCGCTTATCAGAACCTATCAATGTGGGGTCGGAAAATATAGCTGACGACGAGATCTAGTGGGGGATTTGAGCTTCTGCAAAAGCTTGAAAACCGTAAAATAGCCCCCAACTCGGCTCGCTGCGGTGCACTACTATTAGAGAGAATACACTAGTTGATTTCTGTTTTCTTTTCTTTAACACTGACTACTTAATAAGTCCTTTATTTTAAAATAACGAGTAATGCTGCTGTAGCTAGGCTAGATTTGCGTGCGTTCAATCTTTTGACGGAGTGGTCTAAGTTAGCAATAAATACTGATGCTGATAAAATTTGGCGAGACGCACTACTTGGATGTCTATTTTCTCAGGGAATCCAGTGACCGTGTGGCCTAACGGATAAGGCGTCGGACTTCGGATCCGAAGATTGCAGGTTCGAATCCTGTCACGGTCGGAATGTTTTGCATTTAGACCAAATTATGGGATCTTGTGGGGGATTAAAGTGTTGAGTTTCTATGAAAACTTTGAAAGCCGTAAAATAGTCATTAACTCGGCTCGCCGGGGTGCACTACTATTAAAGAAAATACGGTAATGATAATTTAAACAAGGCAATGATTAAAATGATTCAAATTGATATTAGGTTTGGATAAAATAGAATAGAGATAACTTGAAATCTTATTTTTAATGATAGTAAGAATGAAAGAAATTTGCTAAAATTTGATTCAGAATGATTTTTACAGAGAAAAATGGTTAAATTGAAGTGTTTGAGAAATGAAAAACATTTGAATCAAAAACATTGCCATTTTGGAAAGGAAAACAACTCTTTTTGAACTTTTGACATGTTTTAACTCGAATGAAAAGTTTCAAGAAGTTCCTGGAATAGGAAGATCATAAAACTAGACTTGAGAAATTAGATTTTAGAATTTTGATGGTTATGAGTTGAATAAGTTGAATGAGTCAATGTAAAACTTTATCAAAAGCTATCAAAAACTCTCAAAAGCTATCAAAAGCTATCAAAAACTCAAAAACTCTCAAAAACTCTCAAAAACTCAGCTTTTCGATATCGATATAAACAGATCGATATTCGACATCGATTTAAACAAGCTGAATCCTATTGTTCAAAACATTTTGATGCTATTGGGAATATAGAAATTGTTTTAAATCATTTCCCATATTTATTTGTTAACTTAAGTGTTTTCTAAAGACTCCTATTTGTCCGTCATTTCACAGCCTTGTTTCTCTTTAGTCAAATTCGTTGTTGAGCTTTTTTTTTGAAAAGGATTGCCAAATATTTCCCAATAAATCAATTGTTAAATCAACTCCGTCAACTACTCAAATTGAATCATCACCATCAAGCAAATCAAGGAAACACATACGTAGATGTTACGTCCGATCTAGAGATCCGTCCGATCTAGAGATCCGTCCGATCTAGAGATCCGTCCGATCTAGAGATCCGTCCGATCTAGAGATCCGTCCGATCTAGAGATCCGTCCGATCTAGAGATCCGTCCGATCTAGAGATCCGTCCGATCTAGAGATCCGTCCGATCTAGAGATCCGTCCGATCTAGAGATCCGTCCGATCTAGAGATCCGTCCGATCTAGAGATCCGTCCGATCTAGAGATCCGTCCGATCTAGAGATCCGTCCGATCTAGAGATCCGTCCGATCTAGAGATCCGTCCGATCTAGAGATCCGTCCGATCTAGAGATCCGTCCGATCTAGAGATCCGTCCGATCTAGAGATCCGTCCGATCTAGAGATCCGTCCGATCTAGAGATCCGTCCGATCTAGAGATCCGTCCGATCGTTAGAATGAAGTGCTGTTAGCCAAAATGCTGTTAGAATGAAGTGGGCAACGTCCGATCTAGAATCAAGCCGATCACTCTAAACCAGACGTCCGAACCAGACTTAGATTTAGAGTGATCGACTTCATTTTAGATCGAACATTTGACCTCACTTCACTCTGGATCGAACATTTGTTCTAGAATCAATCTAGATCGAACGTAACATATACAAAAAATGCATACGAGACTTCGTAACTTGCCTGGACGATGCGCTGGACTAATTTGATCTTTTGAGAGATGCAAAAGAATGAAAAATCTATTTACTAAAGCTAATTCTAGCTATAAAAAATATTCCTCCAATCTACTATATACAAAAAAAACGTCCGTCTGTACGTCCGTCTGTCCGTCCGTCTGTCACGCCTACGCGACAATACAAATTATGTTAACGTAAAATTACAACGAAGTGAGCTAGAAAGCTGAAAATTTATACTCGGGGGTTTTCGGAGACGAGGAATCCGAAGCTGCGATGAGATTTGTGATAAGTGGCCTCAGTACCTCTAGGTAGAATATCCATGCGGACGCCCAGCATAGCTGGTCCTTCAACGTTTAGCTATCGCCTACCAAAATGTTCGTTGTCAATCAGTTATCGGTGTCTATCTCTTTCAAGAGTCAAGAGAATGTGCACTTTTTGACACCTGACTCTTTCTTCTTTCCTTTCTTTTCTTTCTTTTCTTCTACTCTGAAGGAAAGTATAAGAAAAGATGGATAAAGAGGCGAAATGCGGGTGAAAGACACGTGTGACATTCCGAGGCCCTCAATAACCACACCAGCACTATCACAATGAGTGAAACGGGAATGAGAAAGGAATGGGATAAAAGATTGAACAATGAAAAGTTCCTGTTCTCTATAAGTAGTCGAAAATTGTAGATTTGAGGAAACAAATTTTGGTTTAAAGTTTGGCTTTAAGCTTCTAGAAGAATTTTGAAAAGCTCTGAAAGCTCTGAAGCTCTGAAAATGCTAGAATTGTGATAATTTCACATAAAAATCACATAGGCAAGCATTATAAAGTCTAATACACTTAAAAATACCGCACTTTAAGCGTACGTAAAAAATTGAGCTTTCTTTTTGAAAGCCGGCACAACTAGAGGGAAGATAAAGGTAGCAAGAATGGTATTATGATTTTATATTGGTAAAAACGAGAACTAGATATTAATTTATGTCAAAACCAGTCGAGAAACTCGCTAAACAGGGGGTTTTTCTGGTTAGGCGATCTTTGTCATCGTGGCTTAGTCGAGAGCGCGCTGGTCTACGGCCCACACGATCCGGGTTCGACCCCCCGTAGTGCCACTCAATTTTGATTTTTTAGCTTTTTATTTGAAAAGGCACAACTAGATTATATTCTGAGGTTTTCTAAAGAAGTTTTAGATTTATTGGTCAAACAGACAGACAGACAGACAGACAGACAGACAGACAGACAGACAGACAGACAGACAGATAGACAGACAGACAGACAACTCGTTTATATACTAGATCCTTTCATATTTTTTTGTTTGTAACTTAGCAGAAGCTTATTTAATAGCATAATAGATCTAAATATATGATTTTATAATTACTATTGCCAGAAAAAAACGAATCAAGGGTCAATGGGAGAAGCGAGGAGTGAAGTAGATTTGCTAACAAAATTTGATGCCTCATTTATCGATAATTTATAAAAATAACTTCCATGTTAAAGCAAAAATATTCAGCTAACCAGTAGCAAGTTTCGATGTCGATAACTCCAAAATCTAGAAGAAATCTATAAAGATTTCGATAATCAATTTGATGGGGCAGTATCTTTCTCAAAGCTCTCAAGGGTTAAGCGAATTTGCAGGCATGGCT